ATATATACTAAAGTCCCAATAGTTGTGCAAACATATAAAAGTTCCAAAAAAAAACCCCCAAGGTCCCTCCCCTAATACTGATAACAAAGGAACAAAGAAGCAGACAGAAATTAAACTTTGTGCTCCTAATTTAATCAAGTACACACTATAGAGGGGTGTGCTTTGTTCATATTTCTGTCTGAGGTTTACAACCATTTTAAAGTACAGATTACTAGAACCATCCAACTACTTGATCATAAAGTAAGTTACTTAAATCCTTCACTCCGACGTCAGACAAATATGCGGCCTCACAGAACTGGGCTTTTTTCCATGGGGCCACATATTTGCGTACCTGTCTTTGTGCTGGGAGCACGCCGCACATCGCGCTCCCAGCACAAAGGCCGGGGAGTCACTGAGAGATCCGGGTCCCGTTCTAATGATCGGGACCTGGGACTCCCGATTCCGGGTCACATGATCGCTGTGATAGCCTCTGATTGACTATGACAGTGATCACTCACTGTACAGCCTGCCCACCTTGGTTTTTTTTTTTTTCTCTCGGAATGGAGGAGAGAGATACTTTGTATCTCTCTCTCTCCTTGCATAGAGGAAAAGAAAAAAAAAAAAACTGTTTGTAAAAAAAAGTTAGATAAATAAATAGATAATAAAAAATAAAGAAAAATTACCTAAATCAAGGTTTAATCTAGTTCAGTGCCAGGGTTAGTGTTTGGGTCAGGGTCAAAGGTCAGGATTGTTTTTTTTAAATTGGTAGCAGTGTCAGTTAGTGTCTTGTTTTTTTTTTTTTTTTTTTTTACCTAAAACACAAAAAAAAATGCGCACTATTTTTTCTGGGCTGTACTGTCGGTACAAACAACAAATAGCATACACATATATGGTATTCCTGTGATCGTCAAGAGCTTGAAAATGTATTTGGGTTGTTCTTTGGTGGTAGGTTATGGTAGTAACAAGAAACACACCAATAAATTTTAAAAAATGTTTTGGTTTTTTTTTACTGTTTTGGGCCAGTTTTCCTTTTGAGAATAAAAAACAAATCAGGAAATATTCATTACCGTTTAACACCAAATGAAATCTAAATTTGTCCTGAAAAAAAAAAAAAAACAAGGTATAATTCACTTGGATGTACAAATTAGTTGTGATGATATGTATGGTTATACTAACACATGTCAATGTTGCAAAATTGTGGTTAGGCGTTAAGATTTGTTTTACCCTTAGGCGTGAAGGAGTTAAAGTATATTTAAACCCAAGAACAAACTTTTTATATATTGCAGCTAACCAGCCCTTTGATGTGGTGGCTGCATTTGTTTTCTTTTTGCTGTCTTTTTTCAGGAACGTGCTGAATTTTGGCAGAATCAACAAGTATGTTTTTCATTTGTTGAACAAACGTAACAATATGGGTTAAATTGTATGTTTAACTGACTATAAGGAAGCAAATAAGAGAAGTTCATTGTTAGGATTTACATATTCTTTAAATGAACTCTGTCCAAAATTAATATCTTGCAGGAACTTCAATAGTATTCCCAAAACTCTAAACCTGGTGTAACCACTATGGAAAGTGCACGGAGGGGTGGGGAGGGGTTTGCACACACGTTATTATCTTAGTATAAAAAACATAGATATGTTTTCCCTCTCTCTGGCAGGCTGATCTGGGTCCTGACAAATATCTACAAGATAAAGATTTTCAGTGCGCGATAAAACTCCTGCCATCGTGGTCTGTGAGTATATATGATTATAAATCCCGGTTTATATGTGATCCATGTTGTAGTTTGCATAATGACTTTATTCAGCATGAATTCTCTCCCAATGTTAAATGTTAAACTAGTGCTCCATTTATATCACGGTATAATATACAGTAGATGCTTAAAGTGATTCTAAAGGTAGGATTAAAAAAAAAAAACCTAATATGTTATATTTACCTGCTCTGTGCAATGATTTTGCACACAACAGCCCCAAGCTGCATGCAGAAGGTTTTTTTTCACTTTAATGCATAGAATTAATTAACATACAAACAACTTCAGCCTTTAGAACTACTTTGAAAATAATCTCTTTGCAGATTTATGGAAGCACTAGTTATTTAACATATTTATTTCTATAAAAACCATGATATCCTATTTCAGATCTGCTTTTTTCATGGCAGTATCCCATTCCAGCAAGTTAAAATCAAGATTGTAGGGGGCAGTGCCTATACTGTGAGCTAATTGTTATTGTATTTATTGCTATATAGCACCGTCAATTTATACATATATATTGTACATTTACATCAGTCCCTAGTCCTCAAGGGGCATACAACCTAAGGTCCCTAACTTACATTCATACATACACATACTAGGGCCAATTTAGATGGGGTCCAATTAACCTACCAGCATGTCGTTGGAGTGTGGGAGGAAACCAGAGTACCCAGAGGAAACCCACACAGGCACAGGGAGAATATGCAAACTTCAGGCAGGTAGTGCCATGGTTGGGATTTTAACCAACGACTCTAGTACTGCCAGGCTGAAGTGCTAATCATGTAGCCACTGTGCTGCTTGGGGAGGCCTATAGGAGCGAGAGCTCAGTGTGGGTAATAAATCACTGGCATGGTGATCTTCTTTACAAGTCTAAAAGAGGAAGTAGAGAACTAAGTCTTGGGGACCTCCGGGCACTATTTGAGATTTGCCATAAATGTGCACCCACTCCCTATTGGTCATCCTCCCTTCCTGCTCTCCTTCCAAATTGTCCAAAAACATAAAGATTATTCTATTTCTTTGCTCCAGAGAGCATATTATCTTACTTCGAATAGGGCTTCATTCATGTGTCCATGAAAACCCCCCCCGCAAATACAAGTGTTTATTTACAGATCTGAATGCAGTTGCATTGTTTTCTGTGGAGACATTCACACAAGTACGTAAACATGCACTGCATTCAGATTAAAAACACAAAATCCAAAAATCTGCATCTGAGGACATACAGGCGTACCTTGGTTTACGAACACCTCGGTTAACGTAATTTTCGTTTTATGAATGAAAATCCATTGAAAATAATGCCTCCCTTTCTAATTTTTTTTCGCAATTCGAACGGATTAATTGGTTTTCAATTAATTTACAATTATTTTTTAATCATGTCCCTGTACAGTACTTTGCCTTTAAAGTGCGCTTTATAAAGAGTTTTGCACAGATAAAACTTTTTTTGCCTTTTTTCTGACCTCCAGAACGGGTCAATTGGTTTTCATTGCATTTACACATTTTTTTTAATCATATCCCTTTTATGCCTTTTAAAGTGCACTTTATAAAGAGTTTTGAACAGATAAAAAGTTTTTTGCCTTTTTTCTGACCTCCGGAACGGATTAATTGGTTTTCAATGCATTTACAAATTAATTTTTAATCATGTCCCTGTACCGTATTTATGACTTTAAAGTACACTTTATAAAGAGTTTCGAACAGATAAAAGACTAAAAGTCACCAAGGTTGTGATCCACAAAAACTCCTCAGAATGTACTGCTTGTTAGGTAAATGTGACAATAAAGCATGAAAAGTTTTGTTGTTGGGGTGGTAGAAGCAGGGTGAGGCCATGAGCCCTACTGGGGAAGTGCATGGTTGTGTCTGTAATTGCCACAGTTCCATACTGTTGATGGGAACGGAACTCTGGAATCAGCCCCTACTGACAATACAAGTGTTTTTATTCCTTAAGAACATGAACAACCACAGGGCTCTTTTACGTAACAGTTTATGCACTCTCAGGAGCTGGGAGACAGGCCACATGTGTGGAAAGCCACTGGGCAAGGCAGCAGCTGTCAGATTGCAAATGACTTCCAATCTTTCTCTCTGATGATGAGATTGAGTCTCAAAACAAGTAATACTAATTAGCATTGCAAATATCAAAATTGTAAACATCAATAATTCAATTTTTGCATTAGCTCAGTTGTGACTGGTTCTCATATAGCAAGGACGCTGATTACATTGTTTGACTTACAGCTAGAAACTAGAGCAAGTGCCTGCATATCTGCAAATTAAATTCTATCATGAAAATATAGCATGCATGCAAAATCTGAAACTGACAACATAAATTAAATCCAGGCAATAGGAACACAAATTAGTTTTCCTTTAAGACAGCAGAAGAAGCAGAGAAAACCGTCTCTTAAGAATTTGCATAATGGGTTGAGCTTTATGTAAGATGCTTAGAATATCAAAGGTGACAGGTTTTCAATGATTTGTAACATTATATAATCCTAGCATTGCCCTCAAAGCTGACAGCCAGACCCAGCTGAAAAAATGTTAAGAAGCTCAGTATGAGGCATCGAGCTTGAAAATTCTAGGTCATCTATATTCCAGGGCCGTCTTCCCGAGCAGATCTATGTCACATAACAGGCAAATAGAGCAAGCGACACTTGGCTGTCACTGTGCAAAGCCTTTCCTATTTCCATGACTGCATTCTCCTGGCTGTGTACGCCAGAGCTGCATATACTTACTGGCTGTTCTCCGGGCACAAATAAATATGTAAAACCTACCTCTTAAAAGCAGCTGTAAAAACAAAATGTGGGAGGATGTCTAAGCAAAAAAAATACTGCACAATATTAACTGGTACTGTCTGTGCCAGTATATATACCAGGCCTGTAAAGTGCATATGTTTCCAGATGAGGTATGGCTATGACTGCGTTAGCTTGTATCTGTAGCTATGGCATTGTTAAAGTGTACCTGTCACCCTAAAGTGAACCTGTCTGCCATTTTTCAAATCTTTTCAAACAGTAGTGATGGCTACTGCTACCTTTTGTTAACAAGCAAATATCCTCTTCTTTGCCACTCTGTGATCTTTCTTTGACTTTATTGCAAAAGACAAAAAGATGAAGTGCTATACCATAATTGTGTGTTAAAGTGCATTTGCCTAAATACTATTCCTCTATTAGAAACCGTATATCGTGGATATAAAAAGTCTACACACCCCTGTTAAAATGTCAGGTTTCTGTGATGTAAAAAAAATGAGACAAAGATAAATAATTTCAGAACTTTTTCTACCTTTAATGTGACCTATAAACTGTACATCTCAATTGAAAACAAACTGAAATTTTTTAGGGGGAGGATGTAAACATAATATAAACTAAAATAATGTGGTTGCATAAGTGTGCACACCCTCTTATAACTGGGGATGTAGCTGTGTTCAGAATTAAGAAATCACATTCAAAATCATGGTAAATAGGAGTCAGTACACACCTGCCATCATTTAAAGCGCCTCTGATTAACCCCAAATAAAGTTCAGCTGTTCTAGTAGGTCTTTTTTGACATTTTCTTAGTTGCATCCTACAGCAAAAGCCATGGTCCGCAGAGAGCTTCCAGAGCATCAGAGGGATCTCATTGATAAAAGGTATCAGTCAGGGGAAGGGTACAAAATAATTTCCAAGGCGTTAGATATGCCATGAAACACAGTGGAGAAAATATGGTGCAACAGTGACATTACCAAGAACTGAACGTCCCTCCAAAATTGATGAAAAGACGAGAAGAAAAACTGGTCTGGGAGGCTGCCAAGAGGCCTACAGCAACATTAACGGAGCTGCTGGAATGTCTGGCAAGTTCTGGCTGTGTGGTACATGTGACAGCAATCTCCTGTATTCTTCATATGTCTGGGCTATGGGGTAGAGTGGCAAGACAGAAGCCTTTTCTTACAAAGAAAAACATCCAAACCTGGCTGAGTTTTGCAAAAACACATCTGAAGTCTCCCAAAACCATGAGGGAAAATGTGTTATGGTCTGATGAAACCAAGGTTGGCCATAATTCCAAAGGATATGTTTGGTGCAAAAACAATAACAGTGAAGCATGGTGGTGGCAGCATCATGCTTTGGGGCTGTTTTTCTTCAGCTGGAACTGGGGCCTTAGTCAATGTAGGGGGGATTATGAACAGTTCCAAATACCAGTCAATATTGGCACAAACCTTTCAGGCTTCTGCTAGAAAACTGAACATCTTTCAGCATGACAATGACCCAAAACATACATCCAAATCAACAGGAATGGCTTCACCAGAAGAAGTTTAAAGTTTTGGAATGGCCCAGTGTTTTTGCAAGGAAGAGTGGGCAAATATTGCCAAGTCAAGATGTGCCATGCTGATAGACTCATACCCAAAAAGACTGAGTGCTGGAATCAAATCAAAAGGTGCTTCAACAAAGTATTAGTTTCAGGGTGTTCACACTTATGCAACCATATTATTTTAGTTTTTTATTTTTACTTCCCTCCACCTAAAAGATTTCCGTTTGTTGTTCGACTGAGTTGTACAGTTTATAGGTCACATTAAAGGTGGAAAAAGTTCTGAAATAATTTATCTTTGTATAATTTTTTTTTACATCACAGAAACCTGACACACAGGGGTGTGTAGACTTTCTATATCCACTGTACATATTCAAATATCCTTAATTGATTAAACAATCAAATACCAATATGTAAACCAATCTGTGAATAAATGACACTCTCTCAGCTAAATCTTCAAATATAACTAGTTGGTGCCAGTAAATTGATAAATGTGCTTTTATATGAAACAATCCATGTGTTCTAAATGACAGTCTCCCAACATAAACGTGAAGATCACTGGAGACAGCCATGACCCCTTTAATTATAAAGAAGGTCAATGTGCACTTAATTTCTGTTCTTTGTTCCACTGTAGCCCGGAAAGATGAGATGTCTGTTTCCATTTGTTGCTTTCTCCACTCTCACCACACCATAAAAAACCCAAGGGAGTAAAAAGCACTAATATAGTGTAGTATTTTATTTCATACAAGTACCTAAAACCAGGTTGAATGCTCACATTTAGTGCCACATCCCGGCACAAAACAATCAGCCTGTGCAGTGTTTCTGAGAGCGTCGCTCCATTGCTATGCATGCCATGGAGCCAGCGTGTGCTGCAAATGCCTGATGTTGATACTGAAAGTGATGTAACCAGAACCTGATGTAATGACTGAACCTGCAGATCTTAATAACCAGGCAATACATATTTAAAAGCCAGTTCACACCAATACTTTCCTAAAACAATGCGCTATGATTAAACCAATCACAATAAACTATAACATATGTTCTACAAATACCGGTAAGTATTAAATCGACTAAAAGTCTACTAAAATTGTTAGCCCTAAGGATACAATCAAATTACATATGTATATAACAATAAAATAAAAAAATAATTACCTTTGATTAAAAAAAAAAAGACCCTGTATGTTATACGTGTGTATAAAAAAACCTAAAAATAAAAGGTTGATTGAATATGCAGCCCTGTGGTGCAGAGGATTAATATTAAATATACACATACAGTATACTGTGTGTTATGTTTACTCTTTGCTTCCACCGTTTGGTCATAGTTCCAATTGCACCCTAATAACCAGTCAACAAGCAGCTGAGGTCTATTTCTATATTTAAATTGATCGATCTAGAAGCTCGTAAATCCATTTAGTCTCATTTTGGGAGATCTGTTTTTTAAGATTACTCCCTTTCGAATGTCTATAAACCCTGTCTAATGCCATAAAAGCTGAGAAGTATTGGATCTTTATTATGGCATAGACGGAAGTGGTTAGAACTATTTCTTATAACCAATTTTTTTAAATATTGACATGTTCCTTTATCCTGGTACGCAACATACGTGTTGTCCTGCCTATGTATTGTATTGCTCACAAGGACATTCTAACACGAATGTGATGTATTTGGTGTCGCAGATGATGAATTGATCCACTTTGTATTTTTTTTTCCTTTAGTATGGGATTAGAAATGTTCAATTTTCCTATTCTTATTCCTAGTTACCTTACAGGCATTGCACATTTTACACCAATAAAAAACCCATCCTGTCAAGGAATGTGACAGGTTTTTTTTGGGGGGGTGGGGTCCAGGTTATTAAGTGCTATCTTATTCCTTAATCCTGGGCCTTCCTGCAGATGGATTGAGAATTATTGGGAAGAAGATTTCTCAAAACATTGTCCCTAATAAGAATACGCCAATGTTTTTATGGGTTTTTCAACATCTCTCGATTGTTTATTAAATCCAGTAATAAAGGCCAGATTTGCTTTATGGGGTGTACTCAATTTATTTTCCAATATCATTCTTCTATCCATATTGAAAACATTTTCTCTAGTCTTTTTTTTTTTTCTTCCATAAATCTATTCAGTATTACTTTTCACTGGGTCTAAAAGTATTTCTCTTTGTTTCAATTCCGCCTAATATGCATGAATTGCCCTTTTGGAAAGGCCTGAATGCACCTCAGGTAATGGCAAGTATAGTGGATATGTATCCATTCCGATCAGTTTCTTTAAAATACTGTATGTTTTTGTCCTCATCTTTATATATCACCAAATCCAATTAATTTGATTCCTTATGCCAACTTCTTGTAAACTTAATTCCATACCTATTGGCATTAATGGTATGAATAAAAATCTCCAATTCCTAGTGGGTACCCTCCCAAACCATGTCATTTATGAATCGTTTGTAAAATGTATGGCTTACCCATTCCGTAGAAAATTTGGTTTCTTGTTCCCATCTCTTCTACCCATCTTCTATTTATCTATCTACTGGTCGCTACATCTGGTTCCGGGTTACATAACCTCTGGAACTCCACATTCGGCATAGTGGAGTTGCGGCGCTCTTAGAAAAACTATGCAGGCCAGTTGCTTTGTGCCAGGATGTGGCACTAATTTAATGTGAGCATTGATTTCAGTCCGGTTATAGATACTTGTATGAAATAAAATACTACACTATATTAACACTCCATTCTATGGTATGGTGATGGAGTGGAGAGAGTAACAGGTGGAAACAGACATCTCATCCTTCTGGGCTACAGTGGAACAAATATCAAAAATTGGATGCACATTGACCTTTATAATTAAAGGGGTCATGGCTGTCTGGTGAGTGTGTATTTTTCTAAGGCCACACTAGGTGCAGTTGCATGGTTAAGGTGGAGGACTACTATTGAAGAAATCTGGTGATCTGTAAGTTTATGTTGATTGTCATATAGAACACATGAATTGTTTCATATGAAAGCACTTTTATCACTTTATTGAATAGTTCTATCTTAAGTTAGAACCTGAGAAACTGTCATTTATTCATGGACTGGTTTACATATAGGTATTTCATTGTTTGAACAATTAAGAATATTTCGGATAGATATATACAGTTTCTAACTGATGAATTTTATTTAAGAATGTGCACTTTAACACACAATTATTGTATAGTGTCTCCTTTTTTTTTGCATTTATTTTTAGTGTGTATATTACACTGGGTCTGCAGCTTCTTATATATAACTTTAGGTTATACGCATTGTGGCGCTGAGTTTTTTATTAATTTTATTGCTAAAGGCTCATCAACTAGTCTTTGAGCTAACCCCCGCATCTACTTTTTTACTAATAGTGCCTCTACTGACCACCTAGGTAGAGCAATTAGGTAGGCAGGTAGACAGGGCACAGCTCCATGGACGACAGTTTGCTCAGATTGTTTGATTTTGGTGAGCAGTATCTCAATTTCTAATCTTCTTTACAGCATCCGTATATATACCGTGTGACGTTTGCCACTGCAAATGAGTCATCTGCACTTGTGATTAGACCGTTCAATGAAAAAAGGACTCTGAAGGATCTGATCTATAAGGTAATCCATTGAGAACCTGACTTCTGGGGGAATCAGCAGTTTTAAAACCAGACTCCAAAATAAAGAAACATTTCTGTTGTGTCTCTGACCCTACTGGAGAGATTCCCCCTTTTCTTTTGGCCTTCCAACACCAGAAAAAGAAAAGAGTTTAACGTGTTTTCTTGGACAGGAAAACATTGACAGCATTGCAAAGCTCAAAATTAAAAAAAAAAAAGTTTGTTTGCGACTTTGATTTAAGGACACCCTGTCACATCATTAACATGTTTCAGTAAAGGCACACTTGAAAAAAATGGCTGAATACTTGCTACTTCTGCTTCCCAGTGGGAGAAGATTTTGGGGGACCATTTTTTCAGAGCAGATCAGCATTTTGCAGATTTGGTAACAGAAAAGGAGTATTCAGTCTTGTTTTTTCACTTACCGTATATGCTCTGCTGAAATGTTTTCATGATGTGACAGGATCTCTTTAACGTTATTATTGTTACCTAGTTTAGCCACACATGTCAATTTTTCAGGTTAATGGATGAAATTGTGATTAAAATATATAATCTAAAATATATTTTTCAAATGATTTTAAAGTTATTAGTCCTTGTTCCCACGCATTTATGCTTTGCAGTAGACATCTTCAAAAAAAGAAAATATTCTTAGCAATATATATTTTAGGTTATAAGTGTCTGAACACTAAATGTTTGAACATACACTTACCAGCCACTTTATTGGGTACGCCTTGCTAGTACCAGGTTGGACCCGCGTTTGCCTTCAGAACTGCCTTAATTATTCGTAACATAGATTCAACAAGGTGTGGGAAACATTCCTCAGAGATTTTGGTCCATATTGACTTGAGTTACTGTTGTCTTTATATCATCTCATCATATCAACAAGGCATTTTTGTCCACACAACTGCCGCTCACTGGATATTTTCTCTGTTTCGGACCATTCTCTGAAAACCCTAGTGATTATGTGTGAAAATCCCAGTAGAAATCAGCAGTTTTTGAGATACTCAGACCAGCCCATCTGGCACTAACAACCATTCTGATTCTCAGTTTGAACTTCAGCAAGTCTTCTTAACCACGTCTAGATGCCTAAATACATTGAGTTGCTGCCATGGGATTGGCTGATTAGCAATTTTTGTAACCAAGCAATTGAATAGGTATACCTAATAAAGTGGCTGGTGAGTGTATATCATCACTCAGAAATAACTCTTTGCTGAGAATAATGTCCCAGCCTTTTCTGATGGTTTTCATTGATCACTTTTGTATGTACAATGTTCATACAGTCATCCTGTGTGTGACCAGTACTCCATTCCATTCTGCTCCACAATTACTAATACTCTACTTGAAGGATTAGTTCACCTTTTTTAGGGTGGAACATGTAACATGTTCCCACTCCTGCAACCACAGTCTGTTCTGCTGCTTCCCTGTGACATGAACCAAGGATCTTCTCCCAGAACTCGCTATCACTTTTTTTTTTTTTTTTTCTTTTTTTAAAGTGGCTGTTTGGGGCTCCACTCACCCAGCCATGTCATTCATTCACAGAGTTCTGTGCATGGGAAAACTACAAGTACCGCCTGTCGGCTTGTAGTTCTCAATGAACTACCAGGACACTGTTGAGTGCCTTGGTAGTGCATTGATACTTCCTGTCATTTTGTAACTGCCTGGTCATATGAGGTACGAGCAGACAGTCACCCTGACAGTCTGCAAGAGTCTTGCATTAACTCTGTGATCTGCTGATCACAGGTGCAATGTTTTGCTGGCTCCTAGTAAAAAAAATAATCATAAATGCACATTTTTTACCAGCAAAAATATATGCATTTATTTTTTTTTTCAATGGTGAACTTCTCTTACCCATATTGTTAAGGTGTTTGAAATAAGAACTGACTGTGTTTACCCCTAAGCACCAAACAGAATCAGACCTGCTTTGTAAAGTATGAAATGAACATTTAATTTGTTATTGTGAAACAATAGAGACAGATACTTTTATTACACATTTTGACAGACAAGATTCCTTTTCAGGCAATTGAGTCTTATGTTACCCTCTTTTAGGCCAAACCAAAAGATCCCTTTCTGAAGAAATATTGTAATCCAAGGAAAATTCAGGGCCTTGAGCTTCAGCAAATCAAAACCTTCGGGCGACAGATACTAGAGGTAGGTCCATATATTAGATTAAATCTACTTACCTCAGGCAATGACAAGCTAAATAAGCCATAAACTGTCGCTCATCTGGACAGAAAGTAATGAATAATGATGAAAAGACTTTCACAATGTTGAAAACCTGTATAAGATATATTTAGAAGCAGTTGAAACTACAGTCCAATCTCTTTGTAAATTAGCCATTAATACAATGGAGAATAAAAGAGAAAACACAGATGTTGGACCTGGGGAATCGCAAGTAGCTTGGCCTTCTTTGAAAAGGTCCTGGCATAGAAGGCAAGCTTGCCAACAAGGGGTTAGGTTTACACAGGGCCTTTTTTCAGCCGGAACTTGGTGGAACTCATTTCCACCCCCTTTGGCTCAGGCCCTCTGCTCCTTGCTCACCACTATCACTTGTAAACACAGAAGTTCGGCTTCTGTGTTTACAAGTGGCAGCTTGTCTCCCAATGGCTCCCACATATCTGATCTCCTGAGCGGCTCCCACTGAGTGCAGAATGGAGGCAAGGGAGATGCAGGGGCCCGGGATGCAGTGCGGATGCCGACACCCCACTGGATGATCTGCCTGCAAGTGAGAGAGGTGGAGCCACCTACAGTGTGGAGGGAGGTACTAGAGTCGGCTGGGTGCTTTAGCTTAAAGCAGCAACAAAAGTAAGATAGGTGGAAGATGGTGGAGCTTTTAAAGAAGGAGGGAGACAATATGCACAATGGAGGGGGGGGGCTACATGCAGAGGTCAGAGGGGTGAAAGTGCGATATGGAGTAAGGATGCAGAGGTAAGCGACTGTGGAAGAAGGCTGAACTCTGCACTGTGTGTAGTGCACCCCTGAACTCTGTATGCAGTACACCCCTGAACTGAATTCTGCATTCTGTGTGTCACCCACCCCTCCCCAAATTCTGAACTTTGTGTGTAGTGCACCCCTGAACGCTGCACGATGTAGTTCGTATTTGAGTTCCTGCACCTATTTTCTGTTTTAAAAAGCCCTGGGTTTACATGATACAGGTTGAGGGTTGGTGTTATGGTTAGGGTTACAGGGAGGATTTGTGTTAAGGCTTGGGTTACAGTGGCTGGTTCACACCAAAACATGGTATGGGAAAGAAGTGTTCCATGTGGCGTTCAAAGAACAATGGGCGTGTGATCTTCTGCAGGTGTAAATATACTCCTAATTGCGTTTGCCTGCACTAGATTGCATGGTACTGCAGTTTCATGAGATTTGGGGTGGTGTGTTTTTGAAAAGTGGTGCATGCACTAATTTTTGTGCGATGCAGTGAGGTTTTAGCCCGTTCACAGAATGGGCTGATAATCATGCCACACTGTGTTGCACAAGATTCGCACAGTGAACAGCCCTTAGTGTTAAGGTTAGGATTACAGGGAGCGTTCGTGTTATGGTTGAGGTTACAGGGAGGACTTAGTACCATGGTTGGGGTTGCAGGAAGGGTTAGTATTAGTAAATGGGAGGATTAGGGTTACAAATATCGCTAGTGGAAGGGTATGGCTTCCATAGTGTTGGAGTGGGAGCTTACATGGAGGGATCGTGTGAAGATTATTGTTAGGATCAGAGTTAGAGGGAATTAGGAGGGAGGTTTTGGGAGGAGGGTTAGTGTTGGTAAAAGAGAGGTTTAGAAGGGTTAGTCTGAGGGGCATTTTACAGTAGGTCGTCCCTCTAATCTTACAGTAGGTCGTCCCTCTGATCTTACAGTAGGTAATCACTCTCTATGTTAGAAACTAGCAACACTAAGCTCCCAGCACTTTAATTAAATGTATCAATTCTACATTGGCTACCTGGGGTTTGGGACTTTATTTTAAATAGCACAGGTCACTTTAGCACAGTAGCTGTATTTTCTTATATAGCAATAGCAGTTCCCTAGAAATTTGCTGTGATTGCCAAGGGTTGCTTTTTAAATTGTCTTTTCATCTTAATATTTAACTAGGGATGACAGTGGCAGCCTTCAGACTTCTCTGAAGATAGGTGTGCTGAAATTAAATTAAAAATGACTCAGTTTGGGCTGACCGTAGAGTGTGTACCTTCTTATGAATGTGGGGAGAATGTCCTAATGTAGGCACCTGGAAGGCATTGACTGATATGGATTGCTCAGTGTGGGTTATAAAGCATGAAAAGTCAATATTGTAGTTATTCAATGTGTCTATGTTTAAGCTGTCATCAGGAATACTTTTCAGGCTGCTTACATAAATAGGTGTTTAAAATATATTACAGATGCTGGCCTTGCTATAGCAGATCATTGTGACTTTTGTTCGTAATAACCATGTTTTTTTCCTTCCCTTCTGACACTTTTAGCAATGGGAGAAGTTTTTCTGTAGTAGGCCCTTTACTGGTCCTGACATCTCCAAGGTGTCTGGCTGTTGCTTGTGAAGCTTTTCACACCGAACGCTGCGTGTGGTGACGTGTCTGCCTGTACATTAATGGCAGTAAGGATTTCCCATGATTGGCTGAGACAGAGAAAAACTCCATTTATTTCCTGCTGTCAGAGTGCTGGAGGCTGCACAGGCAGCAGTCAGACACCCTGATGGGCCAGGTGAGTGGGAGAAGTGAAAGCAGAATGGCTGTCTAGAATTGAGGTTGAAGAACATGACATCACTGTTACTGACAAATGGCATAATGATTTGTTCTGCAAGAGCACCATCAAAATGTGCTAATTGTAAACATTTTATTTATGTAAGTATCCCAGAATTTCTTGATGACAGTGTCCATTTAAGTAGACTGTGTTTAGGCAACATTTCCATTCCTCATCAGCCTTCTGATTACACTCAGGTACTAAAGTTCTTACATGACCGGGGTTTCCCATATGGTCATCTCCATGCCTCCAATGTAATGCTGGAAGGAGAGACGTGTCGACTGATGGACCTGGAGAATTCTCTTCTTGGACTACCATCATTTTACAGATCGTACTTCTCACAGTTCAGAAAAATCAATGTGAGTTCAGCATTAATTTATGCTTAAGTAAAATTAATTTATGTCTTTGTACAGCTTTTTTTATGCATTGTTTATATATGTATATGTGGGACAGCTACATTTGCTCATTGTAAATACAATTCATGCCAATGCAGGAGTGCTGCATTGTGATTTTGTTGTGTCTGTGACTTCTGTAGCCCCTATGCCACTGCATTGATATGTACTTTATATTGGGTGTATAATAATTATTCTTGCATTGCGTCATAAGAATTGACCATGACTAAAGTTTGCCTAATACATACAGATTTTTTTTCTATTCAGCCTGCCCACTGAACTGAAATAATTTAATAGTTTCCTCCATCCACGCTACACAGCATGGATGGATGAATCTCCCATTGTGGCTATTGTATGCTGACAGCCGGAGCTGCTAACTATTAAAAGTGCCTGCATCTGAATCGACAATTTCCCATGCCTCCTTGACATTTCAGTTGAGGGATGTCAGGTGGGAGGTGGCTGACTGAGTCACCCACTGAGTGAATTTTCGCTGGTTCATCAAGAACTGGCCAAAATTTTCTTTGAGTGGGTATGTCAAGGGCAGGTGTTCAATATGTAGTTACGTCTTTCTAAACTGACTTTTTAATGGAATATATTTTCATCTTCTAGACAATAGAAAGTATTGATGTGCACTGCTTCGGTCACTTACTGTATGAGATGACATATGGAAGACCCCCTGATTCCATACCCGTTGACCAGTTTCCACCTGCACCGTCCATGTCAGTGGGTGAGTCAGTCCTAAGTAATGATGGAAATCCTGTCTGTGTTACGGTCAATTTTGTATAGATCCCTCATTGTATATCTTTGCAGCTTCTGTAAAAGTAAATAAGCTTAAGATCACCTTTACACCTCAGTAATGAAATAATTGTACATGCATTAAATTTGCTTATGCCATAAACAGGCAATGTATAGTCTTTTTAAGCTCCATGGAGGTATTCCCGAGTGTAGCTCGGGGTAAAGTTTCAGCACCAGAAGCGGTAACCCCGAGCTACACTCGGGAATACCTTGCAGCGTTGCTCCGGGATATCTTCTTCACTTATCTTGTCCTTCGCTCCCGCGATGTCCCACTGCAGCGTCCTCGGCAATGTCCTCTGGCCGATGCCGGCATCTGTCTTCTGGGTTCCGTTCCCTGCGACGTCGGACGTACGGGGACGGAACTGGCAGGAAATTTAAAAATGTCAAAAAGTGACATTCACTAATTACACTAAAATCACATAGTAAAACATTACTGTATCAAACCATTTCACATACATTTTGTCCCGAGTGCTTTGTCCTGTGCCCTGCCTGCATTTTTACAGTTTTTCTGCCTGGAAACTGAGAAATGTCCATGGTGTCCAAAAAGCGTCCCTTTAGGTCAAAATCTGTTTTAGACCAGCTAGAGAACAGTGATAGTAAATCAGAACTACTTGCAGAATTGAGTGATAATGATTAGTGGGGAAATTCGTCATCAGACACTGAAAACGAATTTGCGACTTTGCTCAGTGATGTGCGAACTTGGCGCTATATTTAAAATTTCAGTGTTTTTGATTTGATTATATTATTGAATTAAATGTATTATTATTTTTTATGATTATTAAATTATAATTTATGATTCGTGTTTCAAATTTTAACATACCCGGGATGTTTACTAGACTCTTGTTCGGACAGATTTCAGTGAGTTATTCCTAAAAATTAAAGGCCTACAATAAAAAAATGACATCTTTCCATGCAAAAAAATGTACCGCTTTGAGCACAGAAATACTGACATAATCAGACCGCTAGGGAGGTTAATAAAAACAGGGCACACAGAAATCAATTGTTTTCATTTTGTCCTATTCACACCATGCTTGGTGTGCAGTGGTGTGCAGAAAAACACAGCTCAACGGACATGGTGTGAACAAAGCCCTATATCCTAGTAGAGGTTCTGACTTTTCCCCATCTAACTAATAACATGACACAGCAGGACATTGATTATGCCCATTGGAGACACTATAAAAAGCTGACAGATATTATACTCTCGCTCTCTCTAGAAAAGTTTTAATTCTGCTTTAGGCTTGGAAGTTCTGGTAACACAAATTGTCCGTGCGAAGAAAAAGATTTAGCGCATAGATCTTTTAGCTGCAGTAACGTGTTGTATAACTCTGGCTAATTGGGTCAAGCTTGTAATATGCTCATTCTTTTGGATTATTGCATAACAAATTTGTTCCCTTTTTATTTATTTATAGATCCATTTACTACAAAATCGGTAATGGTTGCCAAATAGGCAGGGCACCGTGTAAATGCAATGCAATTGGGTGGTATATGAGACCTTTACAAAAAAAAGAAATAAGGGCTATAGCAACCAATTATCACTAGGTCATAGCCCGCTAAAATTAACAACTATTGATCAGCAGGATAATGGAGCATTGTGATGTGCTGGGGGCAGGATGAGTTTTCAGGGCAGTTTGATGATACCAAGACACCTGGGGCTCGCAGGCAGTGGGTAAATTATGCTAGGCACCATTTTGCCCAGAAGTGGACCGGCACTGGATAGCAGTCATGAGGACAGTGCCAGACAGGCCATAGTATTGCACCCAGAGCTGATTTTTTTTTTTTCTAATCGGAAGTGTAGCTTTAAATTAAAAAGAAACCTTGAATTTGACTTAAAACAAAACCATCTCTTATGCTTACCTGTTATACTGTCTTAACCACTTCAAGTGCAGACACTTTTACCCCCTTCCTGTCCAGTCCAATTTTCAGCTTTCAGCACTATCACACTTTGAATGACAATTACATGGTCATACAACAGTGTACCCATATGATTTTTTTAGCTTTTTTTTTAGACAGATAAAACTTTATTTTGGTGGTATTTATTCACCACTGGGATTTTTATTTTTTTTGCTATATAAAAATTGCTATATCTAAAATGTTTAAAAAAGTGTTTTTCTTATAAACGTTTGCAAATAAATAATATTTTTTTTCATAAATCTTGGTCAAATTGTATTCAGTTATCTTTTTTAGTAAAAAAAAACCCAAATTAGTTTATAACCAAAAATTATCATTTTTCAAAATTTGTTTTTACATTTTTATTGTATTTTTTTTTTATATCAATACTTTTTTTTGTTTGTTTTTTTTGCATACTGTCACCCTAGCAGTACAGTGTCAACATAGTGACACTGTACTACTTGTGGGGGGTGATGAAGATTTTTTTTTTTTTTTTAAACGGATTGCTTTTACACCCATAAAGGCTGTAAAAGCAATCATTTCTCCTTCTCTCTGGCTGCATTCTTGCATCCATTGAGAAATACTGTGTGAGCTGTGATTGCTCATGTGACATCGTATGTACTCTCCAGCGCCTCAGGATATGCACAGCCAAAAGGGAAGCCAAGGGTACAAGGACAGCGACAACCAAAGGAAATGCTTCAGGGGCAGCAGCCCTCCTCAGACGGGGAAATCAGCCACTGGATAGAGAGAAAACAGGTGGCGCACACACCTAGTGCATTATCCAAGGTTTATTGTAGGAATGAAATAATTAAAAACATACTCACAGACGAAGCATGTATCTAAAAAGCATAGAAAAATGACAATGGCCACAACGGCGGGCAAGGTGTTCTCACTGTCAGTGCGATCAAATACTGATGCGTTTCGGGGAAGAATCCCTTTCCTCAGAGCTGATGACCAACCTCAGATGCTGATGTATGGTGTATGGACAGAAAGAGCCTCGCTGTTGTTGTCCATACACCATACATCAGCATCAGAGGTTGGTCATCAGCTCTGAGGAAAGGGATTCGTCCCCGAAACACATCAGACATTTGATCGCACTGACAGTGAGAACACCTTGCCTGCCGTTGTGGCCATTGTAATTTTTCTATGCTTTTTAGATACATGCTTCGTCTGTATGTTTTTATTATTTCATTCCAACAATAAACCTTGGATATTGCACTAGGTGTGTGCACCACCTGTTTTCTCTTGTACCATGTGACCTCTGTGATCATTCACAGATTTCACACGTAGTAAGCAATGATGTCAGAAGTGACATCTTGCTTACTACTCTGCATGTGATCACTGATTGGCCAATCAGTGATCACATGATCGGGACCTCACACAGAGGTCCCATACAACGATCGGTGTTCCACTGTGTCCGGAGGACACAGCAGGCACCGGATCAAGGTGCTGCGTGCTCCCAGGGAGCGCGCACAAGCACTGCTCTTGTCCAGCCGCTTATATGCATGGGCCGGATGGGAAGTGGTTAAAGTGGAACTGAAATCTGCTGCACTTAAGTATCAAATGTGATGTCCCTCATCACCTACACTTCTGTCTTCTTCCAGGTTTGAGGACGTCCGCCATCTTGATTAGCTTGCCTGGGATGACATATCTCCCACTTGATGGTGAATTCAGCCATCTTGATTGGCTGGCTTGGGATGAAGTAATTCCTCTTTATCTGCATGGGAGTTAAATCATCTCGGCACTTAATGCATGCTAAAATGGTAGACTGAGATGCACAAGTGCAGCTTAGTGTTCATCCTGAAGAATCTTGCTTGCAGGCAGGTAATAAGTATTCATTACTGTGGAGACTTCTGCAGTAAAATCCTACTTGCTAGCATTGAGGTCAGCTTTTCTCAACCTTAAAATAGATTACAGACCTTAGGGAACCTCTGCTAAATCCAAATCAGTTAGGCTCAATGGGCCCCTTACAGTGGTGGTTCTAATGTTGCTTTTACAGGCAATTAAAAGGATAACTGATATCGTGTTGTTGGCTCTGCCAAGTGGCAGGGGCCCCAGAACAATGCAGGCACCATCAGACAGGAGACCAATAACCCGCATCTCAAGGAACTCCTAGTGGCTTTTGGAAGAACCCTAGGGTTCCACGAAACCCTGGTTGAGAATAGTTGACTTAGGCTCTAGATCCACTTTAATATTTCTATGAGCCGAGCGGAAATTAGATTTTCATTGCAGTAAAAGCAATAATAATCGTAATCTTCCATATAGATGGTGATTTTTAGCAAAGCAGGATAAAGAATGGCAATCACTGGGGTTTGTAACAGCTGCTGCTTTTTCTCAGTTGCAAAGGTGGGTTATTGTAAGTTTAATAAAAGTAAAAATTCTTTAAACATTTGTGCTTTGAGATGTTTGTGTTGTAATCCTCTATTCAATGGCTGTCAGAAGGGTGTTTTTATTCATACAACATTTGTTGATATTCTCTACATTGAAAGTATAAAATGTCCACATTGTGTTTCAGTGTCTGTTCTGGAGTCCGTCTTGTCCTGTGAGGCCTGTAAATCTGGCATGCCTTCCGTGTCCCAGCTCCTTCAGATGCCGTGAGTCTTTTCATCCTTTTGTAGTTGTTACTTATCCTGAAGCTAGGAAAAAGAAAAATCCTCCCTTGTGGTTGGACTTTTGCCTAGGCTACCAGTAAAAAAGTCAAGTAGTTACCTTATCCATCGTTCCCAAAACCCCCTCCAGCCCCCCCATTTTTGCCTAGGGTACCAGTAAAAAGGTCAATTAGTTACTTTATCCATCGCTCCCAAAGCTCCCTCCATGGTATGTGACAGACCCTGACAGCCTCTTCTCTAAGGTCCTTCGGCAGTGGCAGACCATCTGACGTTGTCTAGTATAATGCATGGCCTATGGCTCTGCATTGTATTTGAGTATGCAGAGGAATTGCACACAAGCCAGAGTATCATGGAGAATAGGAGAGTGCTTGCTGGTGGAGGATCGGGGGTAAACGAAGCAAAAGTCCGTGTTACTAGTACACTAGGCGTAAATGAGCATTTATCCCATGCAGTGTATGAGGAACCCCACTGCAAGGGAAGATTTTTTTGTTTTTTCAGAATTTAGCCTTAACACAAACCTGTTTTACTATAAATTGAAAAAACAGAGGTTTCCCCCTCCCAACATACTTGCCTTACTCCCTTTCCCCAACTCTGCTCAGCCACCAGGAGCAAAGAAAAAAATCCAGTATTTCTGGATATAGAGAAGCATATGACTCGTTCCCCATTCTGTTCTCTGACTGCCTGTTGATTGTCCCAGTGTTGTATCATAGGGGTGAGGAGACAGTCTTCATCCTTCGACTTGGATTTTACATAGTACTTTCTTCAATGGTAGGAGAATAGAGCACTAAAGGACTGCACTACTGGCTATCTCCTGACAAGAGAGCAATGTGGGAGCTGCCCCTGCAGACTTGTTTTTGGGATGTTTTCTTGATCGTTACCTTAGTTCATGTGTAGCTACCCTGGAATAAAGATGCAGATAGTAACATTGAAGCTTCTGACCTTCATACTTCAAATGATACACTAAATGGCATAGCAAGGTTAAAGAAAATGCTTCTTAAGCTTGTCAGCAATGACACCTCCTATATTTTTTGCCACTGTAAGTCCCCTTTAAAGGGGAGTTTGCCCTATGAAAGGGGGAACCACTTGACTTGTTGGTCAGTGCTTACTGTATTTTTATTCTGAGTAGAAATCTTATGCCATAACAGGCCAATCGGATAGCAGTTTCTGGGTACTTTTGTGTATACATCCAGCAACTGATCTGTGGAGATTCTTAGCAGCAAGACACCCACCTGTTATTAATGGCATGTCAGTTACCACCCTCTTAGATTGTAAGCTCCAAGGAACAGGGTCCTCCTAACCCTCTTGTATTGAACTGTATTGTTGCTGTATTGTCTCCCTTTATATTGTAAAGTGCTGAGCAAACTGTTGGCGCTATATAAATCCTGAATAATAATATAATAAAAAAGGGCTTTCCACTTTCTCCTCCTCCCACTACATATTTTTACCATTACAAGCAAATACAGGAATGGAATTATTTAATAAAGAGTACCTTTTATTCATCCTTATATTTAATAACAAATAGAATATCTTGCATAAATACTTTACCATTTATATATATGTATATATTTTATTTTGCAGGTTATTCAGTGATGTGACACTGATGAATACTGAGAAACCTCAATTTAAGGTAATATTAGCCTGAGGTGTTGGACGTTTGTGATACTTTCACTGTCTAAATATGTATGGATGTCTTTTTGTGGGGCATTTAAAAAATAAAAACATGTAGGCAAATTACATGTCTTCAATGTAATCATGGGGATTGGGAGTTCGAGAGATCCTGTCACCATTTTTTTTAAAAAAAAACAGAAATATCAAGTATTTGAAATGCTTACATGCAGTGTTTTTCCTTTTTATAAATTTATTTTTTATTCATTTTCAATGTGCCTCTGAATTTGCTAGAAAATTTAACTACCCCAGGAAAATTCCGTAGCACAGTCCTCTCTGCTTTTGCATTTCACAACACTCTTCTGGGAGTGTCTAATTATTCTCTATGCTGGCCAAGCTCCTCTGATTCTCTTCTCTTTACATAACTTGTTATATAGCTGCTGGGGTAGAGGAAAATAGGAATATTGTAGAATTTCCTTTGAGTGGAAGCTGTGGGTCTGCTGTGGCTGCTGACATCACATTCAAAATGGCAGCACCCCACAGAAGTTTTTTAGGGTTTTTGTAAGTATTTACAATCTCCATTCAGGTGTTTCCAGTGAAGGGTACTGTTAATTCTACAGAATACTAAGACATTTTGGACAATTTTGCACTTGTGGCAACAGTTTTCTGTTCCATCATGACTGTTCCCTGTACACAAAGCCATCCCCATAAAGACATGGTTGATGAGTTTGTTTTGAAGGAACCAAAGTGGCCTGTATAGAGGGAGAGTTGACATCAACTCTATTGAACACCTTTGGTGTGCATTGGAACACTGATTATAGGTCAGGCCTTCTTATCCAATCTCAGTTCCAGACAACACAAATGCTTTTCTTGCTAATTGGGCGCATGTTCCCACAGATTCACTCTAAATCATGTGAAAAGCCTTCTTAGAAGAGTGGAAGCTGTTAAACCTCATTCACATTTGGAACACAGCAATTGGGATGTATACAACACCTGTGCATCCCTGTTCCATGGCTGTGGAGCCAACTCCAAATTAATGGCAATGTGTTTGAACTGAAATGTCCAACAAGCTCATGTGTGGTGTGGTGGTCAGGTGTCAACAGACCATGGTTTGGTTATGGTCTCCTCCTGATGTTTCCTCTGATCTGCTCATTCATTTGAAAATCTAATACTCTCAATATACAGTGCTCCTAAATTAAAATGAAGTAAGTAAAAATGAATAAAGTACATTGTCCACAAAATAATATAAATGTCCATTAAAGTGCAACATTCAAGGCTCCTCTTTCATATTATGTACAGGTGTACCTCGGTTTACGAATTTAATGCATTCTCGGGGACGTTTTGTATTGCGAAAAATTCGTAAACCGAAACGCGGTTTCCCGCAGGAATGCATTAAAAACCAATTAATCCGTTCCGGAGGTCAGAAGTTAAAAAAAAAAAAAAAAGTCACTGTCACTATAGGTCAGTGCCGGTTTTTAAATGTACTTACCGCTTTTTTTTTTTTTTCTTCACTATAGCTCAGAGAATCAGCTTTCACTTTCCCCCCAGCTAAAAGAAAGAAAGTTTCCTTTTAGTTTATTTCCCCCAATTAAAATAAAAAATGTTTCCTTTTAGTTTGTTTCCCGAGATAAAAGAAATAAAGTATCCTTTAGCTAAGGGGAAAGTGACAGCTGATTCTGTGAGCTATAGTGAAGAAAAAAAAGCCGGCAATTGCATTTAAAAATCGGCACCGACATACACTTCGTATTGCGAAAAAGGAATTATTTTCAATGGATTTTAATTCGTAAACTGAAAATTGCGTTAACTGAGGCGTTCGTAAACCAAGCTACACCTGTATTTTCTTCAATATGTAAAGTGCTCTGTGAAAGTTGTGCAAAACAACAATAAATATTGCACCATACGATTTCCTGCACTATAGTGATTCTTCAGTGCTTCGCTCCACAGAACTCACCAGACAACCTTGACCCCCCCATCCCCCGCAATAGAGTAGGTCTGTATGCGCTTTATCTCCCACGAGATTACATATCCAGGACTGTACCACTTTTTCCTGACAGTATTGCTGGGGTTACCATAAAATAAGAGGGGAGAAAGGCCCCAATAGTGTAAAACCATTTTATTAAAGCACCTGATTCATTACAGGAATAACAAAACCATTAGGTAATCCGCCTCTATTGATCTGTGCATTCCGCCATGCCCTTGGGTTTAACAGCTCTATAGTGTTACAAGCTGGCTCCACTATAGCTAGAACGAGCTCGGTTCATCTCCCTGATCGTCACAGGTATCCCACCACTTTCGGGTGTCTCCAGCAAAATGACAGCACTTTCTGTATCTCTGCCCTGAAATACGTTTTGTCGTGATGACATCTTCAGGAGGCGTTGATTTTAATGTCTATGTCCAGCCAAACTTACTTTGTAGTTTTGCATAGAGAGGAGATGGATTTAAACCTGAGTTAGGTTTTACTGCTATCTGGAGATTTCCCCTGTTGTACTGTCCTCATGACACCAAACCACAAGTAAGGGAAAATTCCCAAAAGCAGCACAGACAGAAATACATTTTTAGTAGAGTATGGGAACTGTCTGCTGCATCTTGCCATGTCCCTGTTTCAGGTTTTCCTTCACTTCCTGTCTGGTGAAACTGTTGTCACTGCATCAGAAGAAAAAATGGATAGCAGTAAGAACCTTGACAGTTTTTTTTTTTTTCTCATGTACTTTTGTTCAGCACAGAGAAGGCATTTTCTTCAACCCATGCAGAATGTAATTTGCCACAAATGAATCAGAATTTTACCCCCTTCATAACCAGGCCATTTTTTGTTGTTTAGCACTGCTCTACTTTAACTAGTAATTGCATGGTCATGCAACGCTCTAGCCAAATTAAATTTATATCTTTTTTTTTTTTCACACAAATAGAGCTTTCTTTTGGTGGTATTTTATATAAACAAAAAACGGCTTAAAATTAAAAAAATATTTTTTTTTAATTTTCTGCTATAAAACATATAAATTAAAAAAAAATATATCAAATTTCTTCATACAGTATATTTAGGCCAAAATTTATTCTGCTGCATGTCTTTGGTAAAGAGAAAATCCCAATAAGTGTATCTTAATTTGTTTGTGTGAAAGTTGTTCCATCTACAAACGATGGTATATATACTGATGGTTTTATTTTTTTTTTTTTTATACTAGTAATGGTGATGATCAGCAGCTTATAGTGGAACTGTGATAGTGCAGTGGGCAATCTGACACTAACTTACACTGGGTGGTGACTGACTAACTGATATCACCAGTGACACCAATGCAGTGGTTGTGAAGGGTGTGGCTGAGGGCGTGTCAGCAGCAGAGACTAAAAACAATGTAGCCAATACCTTCACAATCCCTAGAGCCGCTGTCACTCAAATGATGTTTTTGCATTTTGTTACTTTTACATACATTAAAGATATTACTGGGTGCAATGTGAGGAACAAAGGAAAGACACCCTCAACTATTGATTTTAAGGTTGATATACACTTTAAAGGATACGTTCAGCTAACATGTTGTGTATTTAGGGTGTAACATATTACTGTGCAGCACCCTGCCTTTCTGCCCCCACCCCACCCCTTGACAGCAGGAGGGGCATCCTCTTCCCGAACTTGCTGTCGTGTTTTGAAAAATAGCGTGGCTGTGCAGGGCTCCAACCGCACAGCCACATCATTTATTCACAGCAATCTGTGAATGAAGAAACTACAAGACCCGTCTTACACCTCTGCAGATGGACTTGTAGTTTTAATGGACTCCGAGCATGCCCGTAGTTTATTCAGTCTTCCTGTAACTGACAGCCTGTACAGAGGTACAGACAGAGTTGTATGAAGAGTCTGCTGGAGTATGCAATGCTCTGGAGGCTCCTAGAAAAAAAGTAATGCACATTTTTTTTATGTGCATTTATTTTTCTTTGGTGTGTGAACTTATGTGAAATGTTACTCCATCCCTACTAAACAACCGAGGTCAGCTAAAAGAATTCATTATTTGCCTTAGATGACCCGAATTTTGTATTGTGTGTCCTGAATTTGTCAGTATACCTGCTAGTTCATCTTAATGTCAAAGAATTTCAAAGATTGTGCTTCAGGTTTTAAAACACACCTGAGATATCACTTGGTTTTTCTGCCACCTGCTGGCAGAATGAAGAAACAGCATCCAAGATTGAAAAGTATACCTTATTTTATTTTTTTTATTTATTTTAACAAGTCTTTATTGTTACAGATTCCTACCAAGTTAAAAGAAGCCCTCAAAACAGCCAAAGAATGTATGGAGAAGAGACTTGTAGAAGAGCAAAAACTGGTAATGTTTTCGAATCGTATTTTGTATGTTATCCTTTTTGTACATATAAAACAGTAAAACAGCGCAAAAAGAATTTTAAATAAATCCCACTGCAAAAAAAAAAAAAAAATTTTTTTAAATAAATATATATATATATATATATATATATATATATATATATATATATATATATATATATATATGATGCCGTCACTTCCTGTCTTGTTGGCTTAAGCTTTTTCTTGGAGAGTGGTGTCTGGTGATCCTGGAGGTTGGAGGCTGGCTATATTCTGGTTTGGAGTGGGGAAAATACAGGAATATCTGGAGGCACACTGACTGGGTCTAGGATCCCAAAAAAAAACCCTAAAAGGGTGTTTTTTTCACCAATATCTGGTGAGTGCGGTATACTTTTTTGAGCACTATTTTTGATGAAAGCACGATTTATTTCTTTGGGAAGAGGACTTTCAAGAATATTTATATATTTTTTTTATTTTGATATTTTTATAATTTTTATTTTATAATAATTTTTTCACCAATTTGGAGTGGGACTTATTTTATATATATATATAATTTTTTTTTTTTTTTTTTTGCACAGGGATTTATTTAAAACTCTTTTTTTTGCGCTGTTTTAATGTTTTATATTTAAATTTTTGGTGGGGGTTTGCACTGATGAGCAGCAGCATTTATTTGTATATTTAGTATTAATTTTTACGAATTTGGGCTCTGGTGATTTATGTTTTAAATATCCTTTTTGTACACCTGTACTGTAGATCTACCAGCACAGACGACTGACTCGAGCACAGTCACATCATGGGTCAGAGGAGGAAAAGAAAAAGAGGAAAATTTTGGCAAGAAAAGTAAGTGCATTTTGACAATGTCAGAAGAGGTATTTTTTCTGTTTGAAAGGACTTTAGATGACCACAAACAGTGTTGTTAGGCTTCCAACATGGAAGAATAAATGTAGCAGCATACCTTTCATCCTGATTGTTTCTTGTCACCTTTTTGTACAGTCTTTTTCTAGCATAGTGTGCCTTTACAAGTTTGGTGTGGGGAGTTTCCACTTATAGGATGGAATCTTCCTATGCCGCTTGTTGCCGTGTTCGGGAAACGCATGCAGTAGTCTGTTGTATTGCTTGAGGGATGCAAGCACAATATGGGCTGTGTACTGCTGCTGTGCTCAATGGATGCATGTGAAGTATGGGCAAGCGCTCTGGTGATGTGTCCAAGCACGTGTGCAGTACAGGCAGCACACAGGAATCATGGAGCATGTAGTTCCAAAGATTTTAGATCTGACATGCTCAGGGATGCAGGAAAGGAAAAAAAAATAATAGCTAAAAAGTAAGATTGGCAAACAGTAAACAAAAGTAACATGAAATTAGTTGCTAGTTAGGTGTTATATTACTTTGAGAGCTCAATACCACTATGATTAGATTGTATTGTTAGCCAGCTGTTGGTAACTTTAGCAAGTACTAGGTTTATATGATATCACTTTCTACAACAGCCACACAGTCAAACCTTTTTACCGAATTTTAATGAATAAACCTTTAACCACTTCAATACTGGGCACTTTACCCCCTTCCTGCCCAGGCCAATTTTCAGGTCTCAGCGCTCTCACACTTTGAATGACAATTGCACGGTCATGCAACACTGTACCCAAACTAAATTTTTATAATTTTGTTCACACAACTAGAGCTTTTTTTTTGTGGTATTTAATCATCACTGGGGTTTTTATATTTTGCTAAATTAACAAAAAAAAAAAACCGAAAATGTTGAGAAAAAAAACCCACGTTTTTCTTTCTTTCTGTTTTATAAAAGTTTTCAAATAAAGAATTGTTCTTCATAAATTTAAGCCAAGATGTATTCTGCTACATTTCTTTGGTGAAAATAACCCAAATCAGTATTTATTATTTAGTCTGTAGGAAAGTTATAGAGTTCACAAACTATGGGATATATCTGAAAATTGATCAGTACTTAAGTACTGACAGCCAATCTAATTTCTTGAGGCCCAAAAATGTCAGAACAGTACAACTATCCCTCAAATGACCCCTTTTTGCAAAGTAGACAGTCCGACGTATTTCATAAGAGGCATGGTGAGTTTTTTGAAGTTGTAATTTTTTTGTCATAATCTTTCGGAAAATTAAGAAATTAAAAAAATTATTTTCACTATTTATTTTTACATGCGGTCACCAGTGCAGTACAGTTTTAGCATATAACTGGTGTGGTGGTGATCAGGGACACTGACTGGTGTCATTTTTTTTTTTATTACATTTTTTTCTCTTTTTTTAATATTTATTTTTCATATTACACTATGACCAAAGTAGTATAATGTTACCATAGTAACCTTGCACTACTTTGGGGAAGTGATCTGTATTTTTTTTTTTTTTTTTTTTTTTTTTAAACACAATTTGATTGCTTATAGCAAATAATTTCTTTGCTATAAGCAACTATTTAACTGAGTGAAATCAATTCATTCAGGGTTTTTTTTTTTTTGTGATTAGCTGTGATTGACCATGGTTAATCACATGACACAGATGGTCTGTGATTGTCCCAGCCTGTGCATGTGATCACTGTGACCATTCACAGCTAGACACACTTGTATACAACGGATGGCATGAAAGAAAGCCATCCATTGTATACAACGGTCATGTGACCTGCTGTGATTGGTCACAGCAGGTCACATGGTACTGGCAACGGGACCAGTACACAGATCTGTCATGGGCCATGTCCGAGGTACATGGCAGGTGACAGATCTCTCCACAGCACGACGCTACGGGCACGCATAAAGCATGATCCAGGAAGGACGTCATATGACACCCTCACGGAGGGACGAGGTGTTCGCCTGGCTGTCATTTGACTATAGTGGTTAACTTTGCCTTTCCACTGCTGACAATTACCTGGTTTGGAACCTCCCCTGATTGACCACTTTCAGGGGAAAAAACTGTTCCTGTGTACTGAAAACTTTCAGAATAGATGCTAAGTGAGTGGTTTCTTCTTAATTTACAGTGAAACAGTGCACTGCAGCCTCCCTCTAGAGGTACAAGTGCCAAGGATTAAACTGACCCCTGATCCCTCCTCTGCCCTCCCAGGCAGCTGATCAAACATAGATTCCCTTCCAAGCCCTGTAAAAGTGACTGGGTGGCTGTAGAACTACTAGGATAACTTTTACATGAAAGTAGATCACCAACTCTAAAAAAAAAAAAAAAAAAAAAAAAAAAAAAAAAAAAAAAAAACAATACCAGGATCATGGCTGCAGCCATCATCCTGGTATAACCATTTCCAGTCCAGGATGTATATAAATGTACGCTGGATAGGAATGAGTTAATAGATAGGCACCACTTAAAATTGATAGAATTTTTTAAATTGCTAAATAAGCCAATGGTGATATAAAAATTACCCTCTATTTCAGTCTGCTGCCTCTGTAATGGAGAGGAAGGCTGGCGTTTAGTGGAGCCGATGGCTATATTTTCCTCCCTGCAGCAGCTGAATGCCAGCAATGCTCTCCCTTCCGCCAGCATTCAGCTGCTGCAGGGAGGAAAATACAGCCATCGGTTCCACTAAATGCCGCCCCCTCCTCTCCAGGTTTCTCTTCTTTGTGTTGCCTGGCCCCTGAGTGCACTATTGGACCCCCTGCAGCGTTGCCGGGATCCCCTCCTCGCCCATCTCTCTGGGCTGCTGCAGGGGATCTGTCAGGATGGAGAGTGGGGAAGGGGCCAGTAGTTATGTCATTTACCAGCCCCTGCCTTTTGTAAATAAATACAGTCAGTGATCAGTACCGATCACTGACTGTGTTCATTCTTGACTGAAGCATAGTAAACTGTGTTTACCATGCTTCAGTTTCTGAATGAACAGGAAGCCGCTCAGCACAGAGCACTGTCCAGTTTAGCTGAGGCTTCAGAGTAAAGAACTAGGGAATCTCTGTCCTCAGTCCCTTGCTCTGTCTCAAAAGTGAGCATCATGAGTCTGTTTAGACCCGTGATATTTCATCAAAGCCCCCCAGGGGGGTGCCTAAAAAAAAAAAAAAAAAATAATATTTTAAAAAATAATTGAAAATATTTCAGAAAGTAATAAAGTAATACAAGTTAAAAAAAACTACTGGCACCGTCCACTGCCCTACTGACCCTGTCCACTTCCCTACTGACCCTGTCCACTGCCCTACTAACTGACACCGCCCACACACCGAATTATGCTCTACTGACACTGTCCACTTCCCTACTGACACTGTCCACTTCCCTACTGACACTGTTCACTTCCCTGACACTGACACACCAACCACTGCTCTACTGACTGACACTGTCCACACACAAACACTGCTCTACTGACTGACACTGTCCACTTTTAAGGTAGGCGAAATTGTTTTTATTTTTACAATGGCATTTGTTTTATTATCATTTTCTAGGTTTTCCATCCTATTTAGTTAGGCCTTACTAGTTAATAAAAAAATAATAAAATAAAAAGGACATGTTGTTGCCTGATCCTTAGTTAAAAACATTGTACAAGCTGTGTCTATCTCTGGCTTTACAGATTGTTTCGATGTGAGGTTTTGCACTACAGAGATTTTTGATTATGTGTTGCTCAATCACATGCTCAGTTTAAATTGCCAAGGTTTGTGAAAGTAGATGAACTCTAGACAAATAAAATGGGCACAAATGAATGCAGCACTTTAATCGATAATACATCATTGGACATTTTTTTTTTTGTTTAATACAAGCAGTGTAACTACCTGAATTTGACCAGGTTTTAGCATGTTGATGTCCCTATAGAGCAGAGGTGGAGTGTGAAAGGAAGAAGCAGTACAAGAATCCAATCAGTTCATGTGCTGACAAGGATCAGGCTGATAGAAAGAGAAAGCAGAGTGACAAAAAGATGAGCTCATCACTGTGCTGCTTCTCCTTCTCATTGCCCAGCCACAGGATGGGGTGGGTCCAGGACAACCTGGGCTCAGAGGAAGTGAGTTTAATCATTCAGTTCTTCAGACTGAGGACGTTAGTAGCGGGAAAAAAGTACTGCAGGGGCAATTTCTGGTTTGAAGGTAAAGATTACATCAATCTTTGGAATTTATATTGTTTATTGGGATATTCATTTTTATCTTATTTTTAGCTGGAATTCTGTTTTAAACTGTATTCTTTTTAATGCTTGTCTGATTTGGATTAAACCTCCATAAATGATCTGTCCCATTGTGCTTTGTTTAGAAGTCAAAACGCACAAACTGCGATTCTGGAGAGGAGCAGTCAATGAAATGCAACAACTCAAACAATTCAGGTATGAAGTATCCTAATTTCACAAATGTAGCATTGTTTCTTTAAAGTGAACCTGTTCCCAGATTTCCCCTGTAAAAGCACTTTTAAACAAACCTTCACTCACCTCTGTATGGAGAAATTTAAATCTGTAATAAACCCAAAAGCCAAAATGTTTAATGCCAAAAAAAAACAAAAAAAAACTATTGCAGTAACTGCTTAAAAAGTGTTAGCCGGAGTTCAGCTTCAATTTGTTAGTTAAGTCCTTTTGATTCTGATAGTCTAGCACTTACCAGATTGACAATGCTGCTGTCCAAAGGTGTCTCCATTGCTCCTCCATCCATAGTGGAGACACTTTATGACAGAAGTGTGTTTCTGGCCCGATCACCAGGTTAAAAATAAAGAAAAAAAGAAAACAATTGCAGCAACCAAATATAAGGATTGGTAAGATGTTTTTTTTTTTTTTTTTCTTTTTTTGTTTAGGGGTGTAATGCTGCTTTAATTTTCAAACACCGACATTAAAAACTTAGGGTGGAGCATATAGGGTTACATAAAATATCAGGTTAAATAAAGGTAAAAGTAACAACTGAAACCTGACTGTAAAGTCTTTGTTGTTATGTTTTAAGATTGAGTAACTTCACATTAAAAAAAGCTAGCGAGGCCAGGGGTGGCTTGTTTTAAATCTTTTTGATTGCTTGTTATTAATATGACTATACTTTAATGTCCATAGTCTGAGCACAGATACAATTTAAGGGAAAATGAGAACTGCAGAAAATATAACTGGGAAGGACACCAGGAAATAGGAATAATGCATTCACACTTTCCTCTGTGTTGTGCTTTCTGACAGAAGTTCAGTGATTCTGTTAGCACATTGGTTCCAGTCTGTGCTTTCTGCTTCTTGTCCTTGGTATTTTATGATTGTAATTAGATGTTGTAGTGGAAGTCTGTCAGTAACAAATGTCAATCATAAAATAACAGGGACACAAAGTAGCGTATTTTGACTATATAGAGTTGTGACAACTCAAAAGATACTTGTCAAAACCAAGCTTCGCCCTTCATAGAGTCTTGTGTACAGCAAACGGTAGCAAAGACATGACCCTATCTGTGTCCATGAAGGAGAATTGGAAAACCATGGTGAATACTATTATACAATTTGAACACTTTTTTTTTTTTCAATATATACAACTGTAGAAATACACTAGTTAGTTAAACACAGATCAGCCATACCTTATTGACCACCCACCTAATATTGAGTACGCCCTCCTTTTGCCGCCAAAACAACCTTGACCTGTCACTGTGACTAGACCTCTAAAATTACTGGCTGTATAGAGAGATGTGAATAACTGCGGCTGTTGAAGACCCTTCATTAACCACTTGCCGTCCGCCTGCTGTTTATAAACGGCAGGAAGGTGGCAGTCCAGGGGCGGGTTGCCGTTCATAAACGGCACCCGCCTTTTCTAACTGTGCACGCTCCCTGGGAGCGCGCAGCACCGCGATCCGGTATCCGCTGTGTCCTCCGGACACAGTGAAACACCGATCGTTGGACGGGACCTCTGTACGATGTCCCGATCATGTGATCACTGATTGGCCAATCAGTGATCACATGCAAAGTAGTAAGCAAGATGTCACTTGTGACATCATTGCTTACTACGTGTGAAATCTGTGAATGATCACAGAGGTCACATGGTACAAGGCTATTCACAACAGCCTTGTACCATGTGACAAGCTGTAAGCAATCACAGCTCAAACAGTATTTCTCAATGGCTGCAAGAATGCAGACAGAGAGAAAGAGAAATGATTGCTTTTACATCCTATATGGGTGTAAAAGCAATCAGTGTAATAAAAAAAAAAAAAATCTTCATCACCCCCCACAAGTAGTACATGTGACACACCATGGTGACAGTACGTTAAAAGAAAAAAAAAATAATATAAAAAAATAAAATAAAAATGTAAAAAAAAAGTTTAAAAATTTGGATTTTTTTTTTTACTAAAAAAATAACGGAATAAATTTTGGCCAAGATTTATGATGAAATATTATTTATTTGCAAAATTTTATTTAAAAAAAACCCTTTTTTTTTTCAAAATTTTTGGACATTTTCATTTACATAGCAAAAAAAAAAAAAATCCCAGCAGTGAATAAATACCACCAAAATAAAGCTTTATCTGTCTCAAAAAAATGGTAAAAAATTCATATGGGTACAGTATTGCATGACCGCGCAATTGTCATTCAAAATATGATAGCGCTGAAAGCTGAAAATTGCCCTGGACAGGAAGGGGGTAAAAGTGTCCGGACAGGGAGTGGTTAAAGGGATCGGGTTGGCTGCCACACCTGGCCGCTCGGAGCCGAAGCAAGAATCAAAAGATTCCCGCCGCTACAATTTTTATTGGCCTAAATTGCCGATGTGAATGTAGCCTTAACCTGTCAGTGGTCATAAAGTTTTGGCTGATCATTGTATGTCATGGTGCCCTTGGCTTGCTAACCATCCTATTGCTTTATCACTCTAGCAAGCCTGAAAGCAGTATTGTAGCTCCTTCCTTCGTTTCAATTTTTTTTTTAATTCATTCTTTTTCTCATTATAGTCACAAACCACTGTAGTAAATGGACATGTATGACTTGGTTACCTCTCTTTATAGCATACACATTATTTTACTCTTTTTAAAGTGGACCTATATCTGAAATGTAAAGTGAGCTCATTAGCACAGTTTATTATGACAAAGCAAATTATTCAGAAAAAAAAGTAGAAGCCAGGGATATCTTTCACATGTGACTGTGCCAAGGCATACCTGTTCTAATAGTATCATATGAACCTACCAGAAGTCTCACATGTATATCCCACCCATTCTTGCTTCTAATTATTTAATTACATTATTGGTGTTAACCCCTTTGCCTACCAGGCACTTATACCCCCTTCCTTACCAGGCCAATTTTCAGCTTTCAGCGCTGTCGCACTTTGATTGACAATTGCGCGGTCATGCAAGATTGTACCCATATGAAATTTTTATCATTTTTTTTTTTCTCATAACTAGAGCTTTCTTTTGGTGGTATTTAATCGTCACTGGGTGTTTTACTTTTTGGCACTGATAGGCAGCACTAATGAGGTGGCATGGATAGGCGGCACTGATAGACACTGATAGGCGGCACTGATGATGGTACTGATAGTCAGCAATGATAGGTGGCACTGACTGGCGTCACTGCTGGGCACTGACTGGCACAATTGCTGGGCACTGACTGGCGGCACTGCTGGGCTGCACTGATGGGCACTGCTGGGTGGCACTGCTGGGTGACACTGCTGAGCACAGGTGTGTAGCACATATGGCACTGGTGGGTGGCACTAGTGGGTGGCACTGATGAGCACTAGTGGGTGGCACTGCTGGGCACAGGTGGGCGGCACTGCTGGGCACAGGTGGGCGGAGCCGGTGGGTGGCACTGCTGGGCACAGGTGGGCGGAGCTGGTGGGTGGCACTGCTGGGCACCGATCATCAGGGCACTGATCATCAGTGCCCTGATGATTGGTGCCGATCCCTGCTCTGACAACTGCCACTTCTCGGCAGTGCTTTCCTCACGCTTTGACAGCGTGATCAGCGTGATCAGTGTGTCATTGGACATGGCTGATCACGTGGTAAAAGGCCGCTGTGATTGGCCTTTTACCACATCACGTGATCAGCTGTGTCCGTAGTACACAACGATCACGGAGATTGCCGGGGGCGCGCAGGAGAGCGCGTTCTGGGAGGACGTCGTATGACGCCCTCCCAGAACTGGCTGGCCGCAGTGTAGCCGTCATTCGGCTATTTGCGGTCGGCAACTGGTTAACAGAGTCTACGGTCTAGTTACCCATTAATAGCTTGAATCCCCACTAATAGTAACAACCTCTATGCAATGGATGAATAGTAGACCTGATTCCTTCTGTGATTAGTATAATATTCACTGCTGGATTGTCTTATATTGTTTGTAGGATAAGGTTGTCTGATTCTGGGTTCGCTTTAAGTGCAAAATTTTAAGTATATGTATAGCCACCATTTTGTTTGACTTGGAGAGACTTGGGAAATGTCAACCCCCTGGCAGTAAACGTTCTTTGCAGCTTGTGTACTATTATAGAAATTTCCCAGACCCAGAACAGAATGTTCGAGGAAGTCTCATAAAAGTGAGGGGGGGATTCCCCTCTTGGACATTTGTTCCCTTTGTAATATTTTCCTTGCTTCTTCTTCTTGGGACAACTCTAAAAGTTTGGATTTCCCCTCTCTTTCTTGGTGACAGTGGTCACCAGTACAAATAGAGGGATAAATCTTCCCAAAGGGGGACACAGACAGCGATGTAAATGTGACTGTTCCCGCACTCCAGGGCCGGTTCTAGGGGGATACTATATGGGCTGTGCCCCCCAGATTTTAGCTGTGTCCCCCCCAATTCTCTGAGAGTGCATATACTGATCCATGAGCCAGTCTGATTCAAGGAGGCACGCTGATGGAGACAATCCATGTAAGGGGGCACTCTGATGAGGACACGTGATGTAAGGGGGCACTCTGATGGGGGTAACTGTTCATATATAAGTAGAGACTTTGATGGGGACACTGATGTAAAGGGGGCACTCTGATGGGGATAACTAATCATATGTAAGGGGGACTCTTATATGGACCCTGATGTAAGGGGGAACTCTGATGGGGATAACTGATGGGGTAACTCATATGTAAGAGGGGACCCTGATGTAAGGGGGCACTCTGATGGCAACACAACCCCCATATAAAGTGGGACTATGATGAGAACTCCTGATGTAAAGAGGGACTCTGATGGGAATTTCTGATATAAAGGGATGCATGTTCTGTTTAATCATCCTAATCTGTTGACAGCCTAATACATACTGTTTCCCAGGTCATGACACTGTGTGACAGACTGCTAGTGACTCACACACACTGTTGATATTATAACCCCTGACTTTTTGTTTTTTTTTTACTGTTACTGCACCTCCAGATTAGGTAGGCTAGATCCGGCCCTGCCCTGCTCTATCTTAAAATGGGAAAAATAAGGTTTTGCCTAGTAATACACTTTAATAAAAATTTGATTTCAAAATCTCAGTGCAATGACTTTTCTCTGTTGATAATTAGGCTCTGGAACGAGTTCTCCTCTCACGTCACCATCATCTCCTACACCGCCTTCTACAGCAGGTCAGTAATATATCCTCTCCTCTTTTCTTATCTTCAGTATTGGAAGGTCATTACCAATGCACCTTATTTATAAATAAAAGTATGTGAGTGGAGAACTGTACTTGCTGTGCTTAGAAACCAATCAAATTCATCCTGAGGTGAGGAGAATGATTGTGGTTGGTTGATAAAAAAAAAAAAAAAAAAAACAAGAACAGTTCTTTGTTCAGAGACATTCCTATATAAGTCTCTTTGTGTGTATGTGTAGATTGTAAGTGAGTCATAGCCAGCAGTGTTTGTTTTAATGTCTGATTAGCTTTTATATTGAAAAGAAATTTACCCCAGGAAAACATGGTTTAGATGAGGCTTCATACACACTAACTGTAGCAAATGTGTTCAACTCTGGTAGGTCACACTTACTGCATGTTAAACGCATGGAAAGCTGAAACTGATATAATCTGATTGGTGCTCTAGATATCTAAAAGTTATGTGTTCTCAGAATGCTGCATAAAGCATGCTGAAGGCTGTTGCTGAGTCAAGAGCAACCAATCTGTATACCTGACTGAGATCGTTGTCTACAAAAAATGGCATTTGATGAATACATTTAAAGGATAAGTTCACCTTTTAACAAAAAAACAATAAATGCACATTTTTTTTTGCAGATATAAAAAAATTTGCATTTACTATTTTTTTCTTTAGGACCCTGGAAACCATTGCACAAGATTGCTAGTGCCATGCAGGTCTCTTGTAGGCTGTCAGTTCAATCTGTCTGTCTGTACATCATACGGGCTGGCAGTTTTGCCAGGACAAATGGATGAACTACCACAGCGCTCAACAGCACCTTGGTAGTTCATTGAGAACTACAAGCCAACTGCCACAGTCGGTACTTTTAGTTTTCCCACTCTCAGAGCCGTGCACACCTGTGTTTTTATAAAAATTGTGACAGCTAGTGGGGGAGAGTATCCCCCTCTAGCTGTCACAAAGGGAAGGGGATGGGGAAGGGGGGGCAGTCCTACAGCAACATGTTACACCTTGATTATTGGTGTAACATGTTACAGAAGGTGTACTTATCCTTTAAAGTGTAACTCCTAGCAACTGATTATACATTTGGAAATTTACCTGACAAAATTATCGTAGTTTTGTACAGTCAGCTTTGTGATTTAACCACTTGTCTGCCAAGGTATATTTTATAAAGACATGGTAAACAAGTGGCTCTCAAAGGGTGCAGTAGTTCCCGTTCTCTCCCGTTCCTATGGAGAGCCTGGGACCTCAGGAAATTGCTTCCCCAGTGAAAGCAGGAGGAACTCAGGGGACACATCATTTATCCGATCCCTCTTGTGATTAATGACCCTGGAAGCGACAGGTATTACATCACTTCTCGAGTCACAGCTATCATTCCTCAGCAAGTGAAGCTGAGGATGCAGCTTTTCAAACACGTTTCAATAGCTACAATGGAGGGCAGGGGGTAGTCATTTTGGGGAGGAGGGGTTTATGATATCTCCATAAAGAGTACCTGTCACCTGCCCATGCTATCACATGGGGCTTGTTAGCCACCTTGTGTTGGCAATAAAGTGAAAACAAATTGTATAAAATTAACTAACATTAATTTAAAAACGTGTTAAGGAATTCCTCTCACCCCTGCACATACCATATATAAAAAGTGCAGTGTGAGCACATGTATGTAAACATCACTTGCACAATATATGGGAGGTATCATCACGAACATCGGAGTGAGTATAATTCTATGGTCATAGTTCACGGTTAACTCTAAATTGATAATCTGTGAAGGTTTTTAAAGCGTCACCTATGAAGTACTTTGGGTACCATAGGTGCATAGTTGTGCGCAATTCTATGACTTGTTTGGTATCTATTTACTCGATGCAACCAAATTTTTTATATCTTACCAAATAGGGTATAATATTGTGTTTGCTTGCACTAAACTTCATGTTAGTGTATTTTTTTCCTAAAAAATATGGTGAACTTGGTGGGTAAGGCATTCACCAAGTGCCCAACACCGTAAAGCACTAATCATCAGCCTACCAATCAGCAAAGAGAGCCTGTCTAATGTGTCTCTAGTTTAAAAATAAATAATTGCCTTTCTCATATACATTATATTGGTTGGACAAGTACTGTGAGATCTTTCTTGTGTAGTCAGCGACATCTTACCCTGCTTTACAGGATAAATTCACTTTTTAAAAAAAATTAATAAATGCCCATTTTTTTTGTAGGTAAAAAAAAGTGCATTTGCTATTTTTTATTTTTTTTTGGAGCCTGGAAAGCATTGCACCAGGGATCAACAGATGTTTGGTGCAATGCAGGACTCCTGAAAACTGTCCATGTATCTGTGTGCTCATACATCCTATACGGGCAAGCAGATACAGTCTGACAGGAAGACTGCATGAACTACCAGAGCACTCCCAGTGCCGTGGTAGTTCATTGAGCCTTTATGGCTGTCGGAACTTGTAGTTCATTCATTCACAGAATTCTTTGAATGAATGACGCAGCCATGTGGGCTGAGTCCCGTACGGCCGTGCTGTTTTCAAAAAGTGATAGCTAGTACAGGGAACTTCTCCCTGTACTGCTGTCACAGGGAGGGGGGGGGGGGGGGGGAAACATTGTTAACATGATCGGGCAGTGGTGGGAACATGTTACATGTTCCACCCTAAAAATGGATCCTATAACATGTTCCCAAAGGTGAACTTATCCTTTAAAGCAGTTGAGCTGCAGTGGGAGCAGACCCTTAAATGCTTCAGAGCACACAACTGTACAGGACAATACGTTTGCCCATACGTACATGAATATTTCCTTTGGATACTGCACTGTGCTGTACTGCAGTTGTCATGCTTTGTCCCCAGGGTGTTCTGAAAAGTGTTCCTTAAAGAAGAACTCCAATCTAACAAACCATTTTTTCTGTAATTTTTTTTTCCATCTAGAATTATTTTGGCCTCATAAGTCTGAATTTCCTGTGCTGAGAAGGCTAATCATTTTCAGATTAGCTACTATTTTAAATGAGAGCCAGAATAATTTGTTGCCTGCATGGCCTCATACAGCTCCAGGTTTTGTTTTTTTCTTTCCATTTTTTTTTTTTTTTTTTTTCTTTCCACATATGCATGAACAGAAAGAAATGGAGACTCCATATGGTCTCGATTACACAGGGCAGACTATAGCATATGCCTGTGCGAGGGCTGTGTTTAGCTGCATGAGGATGCACAGGTGTTCCTTGGATACCTGTGCAGGCAGTCCCATTATTGTCAGTTGGAACAAAGTGGCTGCACTGACATAACTGCTGCTCTCAATTTGACATCTGTGCAGGTGCACGGCCCCAAACAGAGCCAGTGTGAGTTTGGAAGTTACATTGAGAGCAGTTAACAGACATTTAGTGTAGTGCTTATAAATATCGGATAAGGAACAATAATACAGTCCAAATCACCACAGATGAAATAATATTGGTGAAAACAAAGTCTCTAAAAAGACTCTTCTAATCCAGTAATTATGGTGCAGAGTGAAACCAGAACCAGAGAGAGAGAGAATCAACTTTCACCCAATCATTTGGCCTCTTACCAGAAAGTTTGACCACCCGAAGGATTGGTCAAACAAAGCAGATATCAAGCCCAACAGATGAGTCCAGGATTCCCAGAAGGATTTCCACAGATACCAGGATGCGTTAGAAGCGTCTTACTGAACACTGCAGTGTAAGATGGTAAATACTTCTCCACATAGTTAACACCACATAGGAAAGAAATATAACCGCTCATAGTGTAGAATTTAAATAAAAGATATGATTTATTCAAGTGTTGCATTTACAACAACCAGAGTGAAAATCAGCAGATATGAGTAATGTTTCCAACCAACAAGATGGCTGCGGTCCGTAGCGGTGGGCGATGACGTCACATGTCGTAGCTCCACCCTACACGTTTCGTCATTCAAAGGACATCGTCAGGTGCGAGCATTGAGAGCAGTGGCTATGTCTGTGCAGCTGCTATGTCCCAATCGAAATCAGTGGGACTGTCTGCACAGGGATGCATTGAACACCTATGCATCGCCATATGGGTAAACACCGCCCTCGCACAAGCATATGCTGTAGTATGCTCATGTGACCGATGTCTAACAGGTTGTCTTTTTTTTTTTTTTTTTTTTCTTCTAAACAGTGTAGTAAAATAATATAGTGAGCCTAGAGGCAGATAGTGCTTAGTGGAGTTCTTCCTTAATGGTATACTTGGTATGAACTGACCTTTTGATGATTTGTACGTTTGTTTTCCCAGAACCCCAGTGAGGTAAGTGCCTTCCTCTTTAAACTATTGACGCATTTGTCTATGCAGCTGAGCCATCTTGATCTGCTTCTACCTTGAAACTTCCATCCACAGCTGCTGCTTATTCAGCTCACTGCCCATTGCTCTCATAAATGCTCTGTATGTGATCATTTGTATTGACGCATCCTGCTCTTGTCATGTATGGATACCTACGCTAATCCATATAATGCTAAATGTGCTATGGGCTTTTGGTTCATGGAAAAAAGCTTAGCTCCATCCTTCTGTCTGGTCAGTATACATGTTAGCCGTGACTCTCAGCTGAGATGTATGGCCCTTGAAGCAAAGTGGCAAATGGTTTCCACAGTTACAAGGGACTACATGACCAATCATATTTATACATGTCAGCTTCTCCAGTATTGATGCACTCAAGAGTAATGGTCCAAATTTCTGACTGTTACCAAATTAATGTTCGTTTTAAAATCCTTGATTCCTTATTGACTGTTTGCTGGAGTCGACTACGCTTTTAAAGTATACATTCAAATATATGGTGATTGTATGGATGTCACACTTATGTATAATCAAAAATGTAGCAACATTCCAAACACAGCAAGAAAAATCAGAAAAATCACATGGGACTTTAAAGGTACAAATAAGGGCCATTACAAAAATATAATATTTGAAACATAACATTCTGATTTTAGCTTTTATGTCATTATTTAGGATGTTAAACTATTTTTTTTAACTGCTGACGAGCAAGGTCTCTTTTGACATAAATGCCTCTCTTGGGCTGTCAGTAATAATGTGCTCTGAGCTGTGCATGTACAGCTCAGGGCACATTTATGGCACCCACTCTGCTGTGATGAGGTGACTCCTGTGCGCATGCACAGGTGTGAGGTCATTGCGGCTCGACCCCATTCAAGTGGGCGAAATGGAGACCTGGAGCTGTTTTGCAAAGGAAGAACCAAAAAGGAAGATCAGGCAAACATGGAAGTGCCCGAGTCCTGACAGCACAGTGCTGGAGGGCTTCCTTTGACAAAATACTTGCAAGTCTCATAATGTGCGAATATGATGTGCATACTAGCACATCATGGCATAAAACCTCCTGGGGGGTCACATTAACAAAGTTTATTACGGCTTTAAAAACATATACTCTGATGATGCTGTTTTAGAGTTAGCAATAACCTCCACGTCAAAATCAACCATGTGTCCTCGTATAGATAGGAATCACATAATTAATACATTACATTGACTGTGAAGGTTCTCATTTATCTAGGCCTTGGTACGTCTCTAGTAGTAGTAAGTCGCATTGAACTGGACTTGGTCAGTACTGTTGAAGATGCTTCAAGCTTATTTAAGCCATTCTTCAGTTCTCTAACGGAAATTGCATAGCCATTCAGATGAAAGGTCTTGTGCACATTGGATGCGCTGTCCTTCATTTTGCTACATTTGCTAGAGTTCTCTCCCTGATGAAGAGGGTGTGTGTTGGCGTATATCAGCAGTCTCCAGACTGTGGCTTGGGACCAGATGTGGCCCTTTGCTTGCCTCTATCTGCCCCTTGGGGCACTATTCCACCCACTGACACCAACGATGGGGCATAATTCCGGTTCTTGACACCAACAGTGGTGCACTATTCCTCCCGCTGACACCAACAATGGGGCATAATTCTTTCTATTGACACCAGCAATGGGGAACTAGTCCTCCCATTGACACCAACGATGGGACATTGTTTATTCCCACTGTCCCTAGTCTGCTCCCCTAAAGTCTGAAGCATAGTAAACTGGCCCTTTGTTTAGAAATCTTGGAGACCCCTGGCATATATGATATGATTAAAGATATGTTTTATATTGGACTCTTGGAGTGGCACTCTGTTTTTCTTTTCTATGGACTTAACTTGCAGCACCCCCTTTTGTGTATTCGGGGATCCTTACAAGGGATAAATTACTCCATGTCATAGACCCTTTTTAATCAAGAGGAACCCAACACAGTTCTAGGATCCAGCGCCTCCCATCTACAGTTTCAAACAGGTGTAGATTGCTGTCTGTGACCACACTGGGGAGTTTCCCGAATCTTCCTGTCCTGCTGTCACCCTGTCTAACCCTGACATACATGCTGTCTCTACTGGGAAAAAAAAGTGTTCTTATTGCTATTTGTGTCTCAGTTTGAGGGATTTCCCTTCTCTTCCTATCCATGTGAAGGAGACATTTATGCAACAGGGACACAGATAGCAATAATAACCTGTCAGCATCCTTCCCCCCCCACTCTGTCCCGAACTAAAAATAAACCCCACCAACTGTATGGGGCTATTTAAAAAGTAGTGAATCTGACTTTCAACTCACATTCTCTGCAGATACATCTTCCTGGTGCATGTGTTTCCAAGGACAATGATTGACTCACCACCAGTGAATGTATGATGAAAGTGACATTTACTGCTTTATAAGTATCCCCTTATGTATTATGAATATTGTCTTCAATACCCAAATAATGATCAGTGTCTTTTTTTTTCTCCCCTTTGCTGTCTCTCTTCACTGTAGAGCATGCATCATTTTAAATGTGAGTTATCGGTAAAGTAAGCAAAGCTTCATTTTGTCACATTCGCTGTCGTGCCTTATGGACAGTGTGGGACATTTTGCCATTACCCCTTTATACCATTTACAGTTTATTGTTGGCAAAGCTCTCAGCGCAAACCTTTGCTTTGCACCACTTTGTCATTTTTATTTGTATGCTTATCTAGTCATTATATGCAGATCATTTTCTCCCCACTTCAAAAGTCTCTCTTCCATGACCATCCATCAAAATACTAAGGGCGACTCAAAAATGTTTTGTTGTTCTATGATCCCGATGCAGTCGTATGCTGTTTATACCCCATTGTATTCTGATGCAGTTCGGAGAACACTAATGATGTGTACAGTGTGGCGGACAAAAGTAACCATTTATATTTCATTTCTTTCGGCTTTGAGCAGTCTGCAAAAATGTGAGATGATTACTGATTGGTTTGCTTCAGTTAAAGCAGATTACACAATGCTCTTTGACTTGAAGTGTTTGTTCACCTTTACAGAAAAAAAATAGTAAAGGTGAACTAACACTGAACATTCTTCCCCCCACACCTCGGACCAGAGAATTTCAGATTATTTAGAGCCTTCACAGTGAATCTTTTTGATCCATCCTGAAAGTTCTGCACAGAGAAGAGGGAGAAGAGCATGCATTTCAGATACCTGGACTGCTGGACTGGCAACGAGGGCACTGACAGTGCAGCATTGCTGGAGGTAAGTACAATGGGCACTGGGGTTGGGTGTGGGGAGGGAGTCTGGTGTTCACCTATGCATTTTTTCTCTAGAGGTGAACTACTCCTTTAAGACTGTAAGACTAAAAAAACAAAAACACAGGGCTCACCTGTCAGTTTGACAGCTAGGTCCCATTCTGTGTGAGGAATGCTGATCTCATGTAAATGAAGCCTGCAAGTAGCAGCTGCAGGCTTCATGTATAAATACATTATACCAGTATTGGTATGATGTATTTTAATTAGTGCACATATAGAAATTAAAGGATTGTCCTTTGATCTACACATAATGTCCTTTCCAACAAAGGTACAATGGTGTATAAACCAAAAAAAAAAAGCCATATTTGCCTATAAGAAACGCAGGCTCTTCTTTATGTGCTGCACAGTTATCTAACTGGAAAACCATAGACTATGGCTAATTGAGCCTATCTCAATTGCCCTTAAAGCATACATGTAAACTTTATAAAATGTAATAATCCAAGAGTAGGATGATAACACAAGCTGCTACCTGCACACATGCTTTTATTTTGTAACATCCTGATACCCCAGAAATGCTGGGGTACTCTACAGAAACAAGGACCACAGCTCTCAAATTTTTTCAATGGCCTGCAAGGCCACTAATCATTCTTTATGACCAATAGGTAGAGAGAGTGGGAAGGGAAAATCAAAATGCAGCCATTAGAGGTCAGGTCACCATTTCTTTTCTGTATTGGACATCCCTTGGTTATTTTTTTTTTTTAAGTAACCAGGACTCTATAGAAATACAAGAAGAACATATGGAAGCAGAGGGAGGAGATGATGGAATATTATATTTAGAAATCCCATAGATACACTTGAGGGATAACAAACCTTTTAAACAATATGGGGCTAACAGCAATTTAATGCACCAAACCATCATATATATTCCCTACACTGCTCATCTGAAACAAGCCAGTGGCCTTCTTTAAAGGCCATGGTGTACTACACCTGTGTGGCTTTTCTTTATAGGCCCTAATGGAGAAGCTATCTACTAACATAAGCCCTATTAGGGAAGCTGTCCCTGCCTGCAGGGAGATAGCTTTTCTATTTGGGTTTATGGAGAAATGATCACACGTGCAGCACCTGTCACTTCACTGAAGAGCATGGCAGAACCTCCAAAGGCAGCGTAGAACATGGCTAGTGGTTGTTTTAAAGGTTTATTATCCTTTAAAGCACTGGTCTCCAAACTGTGGCCCAGGGGCCGGATGCTGCCCTTTGCTTGCTTTTACCTGGCCCTTATCCACAATACCAACAATGGGGCAGAATTCCCCCCCACTGACATCAATGCAGGGGCAGAATTCCTCCAAATGACACCAACGATGGGGTACAATTACTCCCAATGACTTCAAAGATAGAGCACAATTCCTTTCAATGATACCAGCAATGGAGCCCAATGACACCAATGATGGGGTGCAATTCCTTTCACTAAGGAAAAATGTCACCAGCACACCGAGGATCACCAATATGGGTTCATCACGTCACATGCCTGATGAAGGGGTCCTGCTAGACTCTGAAACGTTGCCTTGCTGTAACTGTGATCGTTCATTAAAACCTTTGGACCCATATTGGTGATTCTCGGTGTGCTGGTGACATTTTTCCTTGCTGATTTTGTTCTGTTCCAGCCGACGGTAGATGCGGCACCCACGTATACACACAGCCATTTTTAACACAGGAACTTGTGTGTTTGGATTGTACACTTCAATTCCTTTCACTGACACCAAAAATGGGGCATTGTTTATTCCCCCTGACATCAGGACCTTTTCTACTCCCAATGGCCACAATCCGATCTTGCCCCCCCCCCCCCCCCCCCCTTAGGTCTGAAGGACAGTAAATGCGCTTTTCGTTTAGAAACTTTGGCGACCCCTGCTTTAAAGCAAGGTTGTTAATTAAACTTTCATATAAATAATGCATCAATAACTTGTGAACCTAGACAGATATACTCTGCAGTTTCCTTTAATTCTTCATCATGTGTATGACTGTTGAAGTCATAATGATGGTCATTAATAGGGTTTTATTTATTTATTTCTTTTTAGAAAAGAGGTTCTTGTTTTTCTGAAACTGTTACCAGTTGACATGTACTCTTCAGTTCAGTGTGGTGGACAAATCCTCCCACTTCTTTAAAAGTCATTATTTATGATCTCATTTAAATTATTCTCTTATAGAATATTAGTGGTTTAAAGCATGATATAAATCCTCACATTTATTTAGTAAGTGTGATTTAAAATAAACCAGTGACCAGGCTGCACAGACTAGCGGAACCTCCAGGTGGTAGACTCCCTTGATTGTGGAGCACGCAGGAGCCATGAATGCCGAGCAATTAGTTCAAATGTTGACCACCTCCTGTGGTTAGGTCCACTCAAACAGCCCATTGGATGAGACATAAGGGGGCAGGTCAGAGCCATCAACCACTGAAGGTGGTCAGTATTTGCATAGTAGACTGTCGTATTGTCTTGGGTTTCAAGAATCTGGTGTTCTTACCCGCTGTTCAACCCATGCATCCTATTTAAGGCAAAGCAAAACGTTCACACTAATGCTGGCCACACCAGCAGCACAAGCTAGCCTTGCCTTTGCTTCCCAACTCTGACTGCAGGGAAGGGACAACATTCCCGGTACTTTTGGGTATGGGAGAGCACATGCCTCACTCCCCTTCTTCCGATGTGACCGCACTGGCACTTGGCAATTGGATTCTCAAACACCTAGTTCTGTAAAATTGGGAGTGGGGTAGTCTTCTGCCCTCTGTAAGCTCTGAAGGTAAATTTAAAGGGTACATAAATCCTAACAATGAACTCTAATTTTGTACTTTTTGGTCTGTTAAATAGGGCATTTAAAGCATTTTGTGATATCTGTTTAATAGGTGTAAAAACCAACCTGGTGGTCTTACCAGAAATCTTATGAGCAGGCAACCTTCCCATATGGCATTCTTATCAGTAATATGGCTCTCTGTTATCTCTGAGGACTACAGAAGCCCTCCTGTCACTGAAATGACATGAAATGGGTAGAGCAGAGGAATGTTTCTGTACTCCTGTCTTGTTTTTGCTGTCCTGATACAGTGGAGTGAGTGAGCATTATCACCCTAGGACAGGAAATGTATTACTGGCAGGATCACCAGGTGAAAATAAAGGAAACAAATGCACAGCCACCAAATCAGCTGTTCAGTTGCAATATATTACATTTTTGTTTTTGTTTATATACCCTTTAAACTGCTGGTGGGGCTAGCATTTAGGTGAACCTGTTAATTAGTAATTTATGGTATGGGTTTACATTATGCATCCAGTAGCTCATGTAGTAGAGCACTGCTTTAGGCACAAGGTATTGTTAAATTGGGCTTGCTGTCCTTTTTTGTTTTATGAGGATGTTTCATAGGATTTTAGCACAGATTGTCCATATTTAAGTATAGCATAATATTATTTATGGATTACATGTGTTATTTCAGCTGTATGAAGCCCGTAAAGTAGGTATTCTTTACAAAGTTATGTTTTTAATATTGCAATCTCATGATTTTTACACAGGCAATGCAACATCTCCAATACAGCACCACCGCCTGCGCCGCCACCGCCACCACCACCTGCGCCTCTCCCTCCTCCAAGCAAGGATGTGCCAACGCAGTCGGTCACCCCCACAGTGAATGGTACAGACCGCGGAGCCTTACTTAATTCCATTAAAAGCTTCAAGAAAGGAGAGCTGAAAAAGGCTGTGACCAGTGACCACAGCGCCCCACGGATCAGCTGAAATCAGCAATTGAACTGCATCTGGGGATAGGCGCCAAATGTAGATTTTTTTCATATATATATATATATATATATATATATATATATATATATATATATATATATATAGTGCTTGGGCTGCTCTCAGCTCAGATGTGTTATTTTAGAACAGGATTTAAATTCTGGAAAAGCAAGTGTATAGTGGAAAAAAGGCCTTACGTTTTAAGAAAGGTTGAAGTGTAAAATATAGGCCTGGTCTGGCCTAATTCACAATACTGAACTCGCTTATCAAAGTATCTCAAGGAGGGGCACTCACGCTTTGTATATATAGACTTCACATTGTATAAGACCAGTGTGCACAGCTGTACAGCAGGCTTCTACAAAGTATTTGCAAAGTTTTCTTCCAGCTTCAAGCAGCGTTGAAGTCTTTAAAGCACCCTTCAGCTCATGTTAAACACCGATCTTAATGGGGAGTGCATACTGTCCCTTTAAATAAGCTGCTAGCATGCTTCAGCAAGCTTTAGCATTACTTAAAGCTAGCAAGCCTGCTAATAGCTTGTTTAAAGCAGAACTCTAGACAAAAATAGTAAGATAAAAATTAAAAGACAAAATAACAAAACCAACTTTTGCTGCTATTTACCGTTAATCTATAGATTTCCACCACAGTACTTTTTTGTTGCTAGATGTTCTCAGTCCGCATCATTTAGCCCAATTCCTCTGAGCCCCGGTCTTCCTGGACCTTCCCCGGCCTGCCCCCAACAGGACAATGAAAGGAGATCAGCACCGTGATGAGCTCATCTCTCTGTCACTCTGCTTCCTGGCTTGCTGTACAGAGACTAACAGAAGCTAATAAGAGGTCAAATTCAGGTATTTGCATTTAAGGGCTTGTTAACGCAAGCATTTGGGGGCAGTAAAACCCTACGGATGAGCCGTGCTTTTCCGCCCCTCAAGCACTATCCCCCTTAGCTGCAGAGGCAACGGCCAGGGGTGTTCATGTGCATGTACTGGGATGGTTTCCTTCATAGCCATGGCAGGAATTATAACCTGTAATTTTCATTCACTCTGCAAGTGTCCCACAACCACATACAATGCAGGGGCGCTAGTGCAAGGGTTCAAGGAGTTAAGTGAGACGAGGAAGCAATACAACACCCACCATCTGTCAAATATTTTCGGAAGAGCATGCGTTTATGATAACAAAGCTGCATTAATTTGTGCCTTTTAGAACTGCCAATAAATTGGCTTTAAAGTGACAGTCCGCATTCCCATTACTGAGTTTGCGTTAAAGCTTTTGACAAAGCTTCCTGAAAACTTTGCAAATGATTTAAAAGCTTGCAGTACTCCATGGTCTTTAATATACTGAAGTCCATATGTACAAGGCCTTAATACAAACATGGGCTCTGCCTAAGCAGAACAATACAACTGGTATACTTTTCCCCCCTACCTCCCCAGCAGCATACACTCACTTTTCCTGCACTTTTCTATTGCTTTGTTCATCCATGATGGTGAATGTGTGCTGCTAGGGAAGGGGGCATTAAAGTACACCTGGTGCCTTGCCCTGCATGGGCAAAGCACAGATTTCCTTTAGGCAATCTATGTTGCACATAGTAGCCAGATTTTTCCTGTTGCTGTATGGGAAAAACTTAGAATCTAACTGGTTTCTGTGGGGTAGCAGATATTTGTATGAGACAGTCCTTCCTTGTAACACTTTGGTATATGAGGCCAATTTTGTCTTAAGATATCCTCTTATAGATTCAGTAAACAGATCATCTCCTCATTGTACAGTTTACCATACACAATTTATCCCTTCCGCTTGAATGCTGCAATGTAACATTTTGGCATAAAACATACCAGTCATTTGGTAAAGTCTAGTTGCTGCTTAACTTGCCTTAAAGAGATTACAGTCAAAGTCAAAATTCATTTCTGTTGAGGGAACAAGCCCTAGATCATCAGTGAACCTTGCAATATTGGCGAATTTTATTGCAGATCCCTGTTTCTTTTCTACAGTTGTTGAGCCAAGACCACAGCAGTTGCTGATGTTTTCAAAGTGACAGCAAAGTGGAAAGTTTTATGCTCAACCCCAGTGCTGTGTGACACCGTGCATCCCCAGCTTTCATCTAGACATAGGAAGTATTATGCTCCACCCCAGTGCTGTATGACACAGTGGGGGAGATTTACTAAAACTGGTGCACACAATCTAGTACAGATGTGCGTAGTAACCTAACTTTCTAACTTCAGCCTATGCAATTAAGCTTTGACAATTAAACCTAGAAGCTGATTGGTTACTATGCACAGTTGCACCTGTTTCCTGTCCAATTTAGTAAATCTCCCCCAGCATCCTTCTAGATGTGGGAAGTCTTATGCTCATCCCCAGTGCTGTATGATACAGTGCATCCCCAGACTCCGTCTAGATGTAGGAAGTCTTATACTCAATCCCTGTGCTGTATGACACAGTGCATTGTAAAGTATGCATGTAAGCCTAAGTCTATTTTTCAGTATGGTTGATATCATGCTTCACTGTTTACAGATTTCTTGAGCAAAAGTTATTACCTGCAGATCTTGCTAGTAACAGCACTTCCTGTTGCACAGTGACAACCTAAGCTACTGCCTCGCAGTCGGCAGCAGTGTTGGTGCCATTTCTCGGTTGGGTGCCATTTCTCGGTTGGCTGTTGGGTTGTCTGTCAGGTCTGTGCATCCCCAACACTCATATGGATTTGGGAACATTTATGCTCAACCCCAGTGCCGTATGACACCGTGCATCCCCAGCTTTCATCTAGACATAGAAAGTATTATACTCCACCCCAGTGCTGTATGACACAGTGGGAGAGATTTACTAAAACTGGTGCACACAATCTAGTACAGATGTGCGTAGTAACCTAACCTTCTTACTTCAGCTTGTTCAATTAAGCTTTGACAATAAAACCTAGAAGCTGATTGGTTACTATGCACAGTTGCACCAGATTTCCTGTGCATCAATTTAGTAAATCTCCCCCAGTGCATCCCCAGCATCCTTCTAGATGTGGGAAGTCTTATGCTCATCCCCAGTGCTGTATGATACAGTGGATCCCCAGCATCCGTCCAGATGTAGGAAGTCTAATACTCAGTCCCTGTGCTGTATGACTCAGTGCATTTTAAAGTATGCATGTAAGCCTAAAATCTATTTTCAGTATGATTGATATCATCCTTGATTGTTTACAGATTTCTTGAGCAAATCTCTTTAAAATTTCTTACCTGCAGATCTTGCTAGTAACTGCACTTCCTATTGCACAGTGACAACCCTAAGCCACTTCCTCGCAGTTGGCAGCAGTGTTGTCAGGCTGTTGTGTGCCATTTCTCGGTTGGTTGCTGGGTTGTCTGTCAGGTCTATCGGATAGGCAGCCCAATAGCCAGCTGAACGACCTTGAATGGCATGCTGACAATGATGCTGCTTATTTTAGACTCAATGACATAATTGCTGGATCTCTCTGCTTTTCTATGCAAAGTAGGCAGATCCTGACTAGGAAAAGGGGTCAGCAAGGTGCTGTACTCGACTCCCTGAACCATCACAATACCCTGCCTCAGTACATCACTCAACAGCCCTCTGTGCTGATGCAAGCATTGTGTCTGTTTTTTTTGAGTTATGCAATATCAAGCCTTGATGGAAGGATAATTTTCATGCAGACCATCCTAGATAATGCCTGCATGTGATGCTTAGCCTGTGATTGAAAGAATCCAATGAATGAAAGGGGCAGGTCAGGGACAGTAAGCCTGGGGAGAAATAATCTAAATGATATTGCACATCCTCCAGCCAGAAATGGGGGTTCTGTCCGACTTGCAACAGTTTCTATTGCACACTGTGAGGAGGTCACAGTGTGCAGTAAAATCAAAATAAGTAATTTCAGTACAGCAGAGAAGCATGTGCAGCTAGAGTTCAGATTTAAGAAAACTCTATATAGTGAAGCATGGTGCTAAAACCAACTGAAAACAGATGTAGGCTTTATATATGCTTTAATGGAGTGCTAGGGGTGCCATACATCATACAATAAATTGAATCTAAGTTAACCTCATGCTCTGTGCGTAATTCAACATGCTTGTAAGTGACCTTATAACAGACCTGAGGAATGAGGTTTCTGGGAATTCTTTACTATAAACTATATTTCCTGATTCTATTTATATAGCTGTTCTGATCCTGTATACCGTACAGGTTTTTATAGTGTCCATTTGGAGAACATTGCAATATTAGCCATTGGTGCTATGGGCATTCACAGTTGTCTGTGGAATACTCCTATAGACACAGAATTCCAGTGATTGCATTTCCCCCATAGCAACAGGCAAACATTGAAAGTTTCTGTTGGGCACAGTCAGTACATCAAGGAACTGTACAAGCATTAATAAACAGGTAACCTATTGTATCACAAAATGTGCTTTGTTGTGGTATACAATCTGCAGGAAATGTGGATTTCTAAGGCTCCATTCACACCTGGGAATTTGCGATTGTGGGCTGCAATTCTGCATGCAATCCCAAAACACTCTGCAAAACTGACAAATCACACCACACTTGTTCAGGTACCATTCATTTGCAGTGGCACCTAAATGCGGGTACGGTTCTGCCATGATTGTTGCGCGATAAATCGTGACAAACTGCATCGCGCAAAGCTGGTTGCCCAAAAGACGCTCCCGATCCTTTGCGTGATGCGGTTTGTCGCAATTCCAGCACGATTTATCACGGCAGAGCCACATCTGTGTTTAGGTGCCATTGAAAATGAATGGCACCTTAATATGTGTGGTAAGATTTGTCAGTTTTGCAAAGAGTTTCGGAATCGCAGGCAGAATCGTGGAGATTCTGCCCGCTAACGCCCAGGTGTGAGCCCACTTAAAGTGAGGATAGAAATATGAAAGCTGCCATTGTCAACGTGGTCCTTAAAGATGTCTTTCCAGAATGTTACCCTGGCTTTATTTTTTAGTAAGTAACTGACAAATAAGCATGCAGTCAGTGAAGACTGAACTCCTCTCCTCCATACTTGTTTTGAGATGGTGACTCGCTAG